AAGGATTTGCTGTAGCCGGCGCCGGTGGTGTAGTGGTAAGCGTGACTGCTTTCTAACACCCCGATGGGTCTGGGTTCAGTCCCAGTCGAGGTCGGTGGGATTTTTCTGAGGCATAAAAATCTCTGGTCACGTCTTCCTTCGGAAGGGAAGTAAAGCCGTTGGTCCCGGCCCATGTGTATGTGTGTTGAATGGGTGCGATATCCTAAGCAGGAGTGGAAGATGCCTTCCTGCACATTCGATTGCCGTCAATGGATGGCAATCGATGTCCGTCGGTGATTGGCACTAGATTGCGGAACAGAGACCGACGTTAAATAAAGGAAAGAAGAAGGATTTGCTGTCACAAAAGTCATGGACACAGCAATTATTGCAAACATTTCTCCGGTAAGCCAAAAAATAAAATTCAGAGCACTTCTAGAGGATGCTATGCAAAATTGCAAAAAGAAATCATATTTGTAAGTGTTCACGTTTCAGTGTCGAGTAATTTTTAGAATATCGTGTAGAGTACTCGTTAATATGTTGAAAAATCATGGCAAGTAATGTTCGTATATGTGTGCAGTTTTTCTCCGTCAGTAAATCTCCCTGGTAGGCCACCACCCACCGTAGTCTACAAAACCCAGCAGCATTTAGGCGGCCATGAGAAGTGACGACAAAAAAGGACACGATGACTGGCGATGGAAAACGAATGGCCTGGGTCACTGACCAATAGTCAAAGGACAGTGACCCAAAGAACGCATTTCTAGGCTACATACACCGATCATCAAAGAACCATCAAGATAAACGATCGACAGTCTCTGGTGAAATATACCAAACATTACTGTGCAGACAGAAGATAGTTGAAGATAGTAAGAGGAAAGTGAAAAAGAGTGAGAGAAAAAAACTGACAGCAGGACCCCGCTGTAAATTTTAAACAGAACCGCTGAGGTATACCTGGTAGACGTACCGGTAGGCTACGCCAGTCCCCAGCCAAGTAAGGACAATTCCAGCACGAAGCCGAGTCCGTCAACACACTCGGTGGCCCAGCCAGCATAAGAAGTTGAATAGCGCGCGCAGGAGATTTCCAACGCCGCCGAAGGAGAGAAGGAAGAAGGTGGAACGTGGAGCCGAGCGAAGCAGTCGTCGAAGAAATGTGGTGGTGGATCTGCAAGGGGCCTCGAAGAAGAAGGGAAAGACAACAGGTTTCTGTCACATAGAAATTAAGAAAGTGGGAGTGTTACATACGTAGGGAGGAATAAAAGTTTGGAATATTGAAGTGCTGTAGGAGTTTTTGCTGTATCCAGTGCGATCATTCATTGCTACGTGGAACCTAGTTCGGTAAGCGTGCCGACCCTGAGGCCATTGTAGTCAGGGATTCTCAGGATCGCTCCCAACTGAGGTAGCTAGCACTTACATATTGGAGAAATCATGAAAGTGAAAACATGTGTGCTAAATTTGAAAAACCTCCCGGGGACGTTCAATTGCTTTCCTTAAAATGTTTGTATGAATCTAGAAACACAAATAAAAACATCCAGGGAAAGTTATGAGAGATTCTTATGTGATGCGTGGTGATGAGCAAAAACTGATGAACAATTTCCCAGTTTTTCCGCGGAATTTTAGTAATTTTACCGATTATGCGATATACATGTATATGTACATCAAGCATAAAACCAAATGAGACTGAGCCGAATGTGGCAGTTTGTTATATGGGTCATTACTAAGACACAAAAAATTTCCCATGGATCTCGAATTCGTTTCTGCGTCCGAAGTCATAAAAATTTGCCTGTAAGTCGCACAGAACTCTAAACAGAATTTCCTTTAGAATCATATCCCTTCACAGAGTTCTTTTCAGCATTCCTCTAAAATAAATTTAAGATGCTCTCTGGCCCCTTGAAAATGTATTTATAACAGTTAAAAAAATCTCTTCGAATTGTTAATGATTCATCCAAGCATTCACTGCAGTTTTCTTTAATAATTATTATTTAAATTCGCTTGAATTTATTTTGAACATTCACCTGGACTTCTTCTTTAAATTCTCTAGAAATTATTCTCAAGAAACACCTGGAACTATCCTTGGAATTCCCATAAAACTCATCTCAGATTTCCTTTGGAATAGAACCCTAAAAATTTGATACCCTTGGGATTTTTTACAGAATTCAAATGAAACTATAATTCTAATTTCCTAAAAACAACTACCCTTAAAACTCCTTTGGAATGTTCATGTTCATAAAAATTCTCTTAATAGTTCTTCAAAGTGATTCTATCCGGAAAATCTAGTCCAGTTCAAGAGTCAAGAAATTTGTTCAAGGTCCAGAATCTTATTTTTCAGAAGAGGGGAATTCCCTAATATTTCCGGTTTTTCCGATTTCCCGGTTCACTGGTCACCCTGTTGATAGTGTAGAGCGCACTGCCCACTGGACGATTCTGAAGCCTGGCCAAGTGAGTGGGGTATGGGTTTATTTGATTGAACGTCATTTCCAATGTATATATTGATACATTCAAACCATTGGCATTTGAGATAAGACAGAGATAGGATGCGGAGGGCCCGCTTAGGGGAAGCGTAACCTATGTTATGGTTTCCATTTATTAAATAGTTCAGATAGGCTGGAAATGACAGGTTCACAGTGAGTAAATGTACCATATGGAGCACTGATCAAAATCAGATTCACATTGTCAGACCCTGCCAAAGAATAAGGGGATTGACGATGTCTTGTCAAGTTTTATTTTGAATTTGCGTTTTGTATTTAATACTCTAGTAAATCTCGCGTCCGTGCTCATTCACAACAGTGTGAGGTGTCAATACTCACTGGGTCATATGTCTTAGACCAGTTCCAGATTAGTTTTCTATTAATATCTTCTGCATCGCAGTTCGCGATAGATTACTAAATATGGGTTCACTTTTCCGACCATAATAGTGTGAGGTAGAGTCGGTGTATAATGAGTCACGCCAAGAGTGAAGCCAAGTCTACCTATTGAACTGTCAAACCGGCTACCTATCGTGCAAAGTAAATAAACATTACGATGCTATGAAAGGTCCACGAAAGGTATTGCAATAAAATATAAAATATAATCGAAGAAATGAGCATAAACACGTAGTGAGCGTTAAATTGTCATGGGATACGCTCGGTAATGATTAGTTATGAGAATTTCTACTATTTTTTGTTAAGATAATTTGACAAAATCACTGATATAATGATTTACTACAGCCGCAATATTTTTTCTCTCGCTAGAAGTCATTTGAAGTTGTTGTAGAAGTCCTCTGTTGCCAAGTGAAAAGAATGGGAATGTTTCGAAAACCGTGATGCGAGTTCAACTGTTTTTCTCTTGGCGTGACTCATTATACACCGACTCTAGTGTGAGGGAAGGGGGTGAGTTAAACGTTGCGATATGAGAGCGAATAGAGGCAAATAAATAGGGAAGACAACACTATGACCCAAATAAGTAACCAATGCATGCGGCTCACACTTAACTTGTTCTATTTCTTTCTTTCTTCCTATAATGTACTAATATTAACTGCCTGAGGACAAATGGGAACACGACCAGAAGTTCAATAGGAAAAAATCGAACAAGAAAAGAAGAATTAAACTTGCACCGGCAAGAGGAAGCAGACAGAAAGGATCATGCCGGTTGGAGACAGCCAATGTATACTGGACGAAGCTTGTATCTAGGAAAAGTCGTATGTGCAGGAAACCGTAAGTAGGATAAGAATCGTATAAGGTGTGTGCTTGCTTGATAAGATCCTAACTTTACTTTAAATACACGGTAGGAATCGAATATCCATTTATGATTAAGGTTTTCCCCATTTTTCACTGGGAGTGGCAATACTCATTGATGAGTGATTTATCGTACCCATTTATTAGTAACTGTTAGCAGCTAATGATTAATTGATTTACCTATTTTAGGATTACCTATACTTCACATCAGAACCTCATTTCCTTCAATTACTACTCCGTCGCAGCACACACCTTATATGGATCGCTAACCTTTATTTAGTTTCAGCATTTTCGACATTATAATCAAAAGGTGAGTTTTAAAAGTATAATTACCATGCATATAGATAAGTTAATGTACCAGAACCTGGACGGACACGAGCCTACCCAGGGGAGGACCCGGATACGACCACCCATGTGTGTCTAGAGTATCGCACGAGCTGACGAGTGCAACGGGAAGGACAGTAGGTGTATAGGCTAGGGGGTTGGTCCCTAGATAAGCCTTCTTAGCGGAAGGCACAGCCTATGCACTGAACAATTACAATTACAATTACAATTACACTGGTCACCCTGTTGATGGTTAACGGACAAATAAGTTTAGAGCCCTTCCAGAAAAATTAGTTTAAAGTTAAAAATTCCTCTGTAATTCGTGAGCGTTTAAAGAAGTTTTCCGGCGACTTTTTTAAAATTTCTAGGGTATGCCTAGCAAAAATCAAGACATTAATAAAATTCTCCAATTTGTGTGTAGAAGCTTTGTAATTTATAGATAAATTTTAAGTAGTTTTCTGAATACTGACACTAATGCCGCTCGCAACACTGTTCTATCTTATATGAACTGATTTATTTATTTTGAAACAACCCATATAAACCAACGTTGCGAACAGGTAGCTGTCCGTCTGATCGCTTTAATAATAATTGGTACAGATTGTTTTGCAATGCTGTATTTTTTTTTTTTTCAATATCAGAATAAACGAATAATACCTTAATTATCACAAACGTACATAACATTAGCGGATGAATTTCATGCACCGCTTAGCCGAATTTGATTTGACATTCAATTATAACCCAGGAGTACCTACACAACCGAGTGGCACAACAAATTAAAACGAAAACCTAATATGTATATCGCAACCACATCGAGGAAGGACATTGATCAACCAAACTATAAATTAATCAGAACATGTACGGATGTTGTGGACATCGGTGGGGGGAAATACGTGACACTAAAACAAAACCAAATTGGGGACAACAAAACCAAAAACATAAGAATGCAGCACTCAATCAGGTGCTTCGCAGAAAAAAAAATTAGATACGTACCGCCTGTAACGCTGCTAATCTATCCTTCGTCATTTTGGAGGCTTCGGTTGGGTCTCCCGGGGGACACTATTCCGATACTAGCAAATATGATCACTCAACTTGAATTTCGGGTTCTTCTTATTCCCTGAATCTTCTTGATGCTGCTGGTATTGCAGATGACTACTTCGCTTTCTTCGCTCGATGCTGGAGACAAGGTACGCACACTCACACCGGATTCCACAGACGACCAGACTCGGCTTCCGGGACCACTCTCTAAGCAAGCACTCCTAAGACTTATCTACTTATATTTACTCTGCCGACAGAACTAACGCGCGCGGCAGGTGGCTTTGCTGCCTCTCAAGAACCGGGCTGTTTTTCGTGCGAGATCCAACGATCCATTCACACCGGAAATCCCATCTGTAGCTGCTGGAGACACACGAATCAACACCCCTGACGCCTTCCGGATGTTTTACGTGGGGAAGAATATCTTTTCACTTTGTCTGCGAACAGACTCTGGTTCTTCCTGTGCTCGCACAACTTGTTCCTACTGCACACTGGCTATAGAGTTAGACGACGTCCACCTATAGATCCAACTTTTTTCATCTGTCAAAAGAGGGAAAAATCAATCACGAATGATGTTCCGTCTCGGGTAGAGAAAACTTCCAGCTGCTTCCGGTCGTCGATTCGGATACACCACCGCGGAACTTGTTCTTCGGAACTCGTAGCAAGATTTCTACGGTCTGTTCCGCGACCAGCACCAGTCCCGAGATTTGATCCGTTCAGATAAATTAGGGAGCTTTGGTTCCTAATATTCTGCACTTGACTCGAACGACGACTCTCCAGCGACTTGTGAGTGGAGTGTATGATGAAAATCGATATCTTCACGCGACTTCGTTATGCAGCAGTGTGTATTTTCCCACACGGAGACATTCGCTCGCTCGCTCTCTCTCGGGCGTGCAATCTCTCAGATGCTTCTACTACACACGGCGGCACAATGGACTTGCGTACAGTAAACTTCCATTCACAACACACTTCCAACACATCTAAAGAGTACGAGAGTGTCCCAACATTTGACAGATCCACCCACGATTGCTTCCCAGCTGGCAACACTGCGCGTAATCGTACACACGCAACTCTCACACAACTACAAGAGCCATCCGTGTGTTTTGACAGCCAAAGTGACGATTCTTTTTGGGGTTTGGCTCTTTCCCCACTCAACAAACTGTCACTGGATGTCTCTGTGTTGGGAGAAAAGGAAAAAAAACGCGAGGAATTATCGATTTTTCACGATTTTCTTCTTCGGATCACTTCTGGGGGGGGTGCTAATATTAGTCATTGCATTTGCTTTTTTCTTTCTCGAGTCCGAGGGCCTAACGGGTCCGTAAACCAACCGATAAACCTAGCAACATTCCGGCTTCGAGCCCACTGTCGACCGACCGTCACTCGACACGGACTTGGAATAACTATTAATGGGGCCACGACGGATCAAACCTCCGCAATCACAAGAGCGAAACTCGTCTATGCTCCCGCTGGATCACTGATGGTGAAAACCCGGGGCGTACCACCACCACGTACGGTTAAGGGGGGCACTTGAGAACACCGAATGCACACCACACACACGTCCTATACACAAGGGCGTCAGACTTCGAATGAAAGAAGAGTGTTCAGTTTTAGCTTCAGCAGCCTCTAGAGGTGTTTTGTTGAGACTTTTTTCTCTGGGTGTAGGTATTTCATGCGACAGCGACGGGCGGCGGACGACCAAAGAGAAAGGCGAGAGTAGTTTTGCGACCTTTTTTGTGCAAACTTGACGAGAGAGCGTGCGAAGAGAGAGAACGGTCATATACAAGCCGAATGTGTTGGTGAGTGACCGCCAGGTGTCAAAATATGCGTTAACCTGCCCAGTGGAGCTGCTTATTTTCGGATGGACTTTAAACAGGAGTTCCACTGGGTGAAACACGGAATAAATTATACAAAATGTATTGCGCATTTCACACCAAATTGGACTAATAAGCGCGTTTTCACTTATAAAAAAGTGTGATAAAATTGCATGTTTAGATCTAATCGTCTTGGTGTCTTCGGTGCACTTATTCCTTATGATGCAAGCAATAAGTGCTCGCAAGACATCAAAAAGATTTGACGGAAATGTGCACTTCTATCACACTTTTTGCATTTTTGGGACAGTCCAGTTTCAGATGCAATCAGCAATATTACGATGGTTATATCAACCGAGTAGCGTCGATGTTCGATTTCCACTTGACACGGAATATGCTTCGCCGAAGATTCTCTGCCTTTTTTGCTGACCGAAGGCGCTTGATACCCAACAGCTAAGTGTAAAATTTAAGACTTATAAATTTTTAGTAACTTGACAATGCTTTCCAAGTTATTTTCGTTTGTAACGGTAGTAACTGTAGTATATGTATGTCGTCTGTATAATCTGTACTTTTTTACAACACATCATTGGGACTATTTCTAGTCTGTTGATGCAACCATAACAAATAAACAAATAAACAAATAAACCGGTGGAAACTAACGATTTTAAATTGGCTCACTACTTGACTAGCCTATTGGTCCCAATCAAATCGATTAACGTACCCTATTCTACACGGCGAATGAGAACAACCCAAATTTGAGTTTAGTTCACTCATAATCGCCAAAAGTGCAGGAACTCAGCGATGAGTTAATTTGCCACATGTTTTACCAGGTTTTTCCAGGGAAAAATTCCCGAATTTGAGAAAAGTAAAGATTGGATTCACTCAGTTTATTGGTACAACTCCGAGACTGAATAAAATTTTCGTCAATTTCCTCATTTTCCGGCAGATTTTTTAGGTTTTCCACAAGAAACCATGAGATAAATTTAACTCATCGCTGCGTTCCTGCACTTTTGGCGATTATGAGTGAACTAAACTCAAATTTGAGTCGTTCTCATTCGCCGTGTAGTCGAAATTCTAGTTCTACACTATGTTTGTTTTGATTCGCTATGAAAGTTTGACAGATAAAATGAGGGGTTCGTGGATTTTCCTATGTTTCGAGGGATGCTGGGACCGAAGATAGTACCAGAGCTGAGCCAAACAGTTGAGCACGTTTCTTCGGGACCTACTAGTCTTAGAGTTACCTCTATGGTTATATTGCACGTTTCACACCAAATTGGACTAATAAGCGCGTTTTCACTTATAAAAAAGTGTGATAAAACTGCAAGTTTACGTCTAATCGTCTTGCTGTCTTCGGTGCACTTATTTCTTATGATGCAAGCAATAAGTGCTCCGAAGACATCAAAACGATTTGACGGAAACGTGCAGTTTTATCACACTTTTTGCATTTTTGGGACAGTTCAGTTTCAGATGCAATCAGCAATACATGAAATAGATTAAAAGCATAGACTTCTCTGACGTATGTGAATTGCACAAGTAAATTCAAAGGTTGTCTTGCACTAATACTTATAATAGGGGAAATGTCTCTAATGTTGGCCTATGGATCTAAGCAAGGTGACTACATATAGGTGTTCTAATGTGTCAAAGTCATGATTCAGCCATGTTGGATTTTTGTATGGGACAGCGACCGAGTTTGTTTACAATTTGCTCTAAAACCACACTCCCCCCCCCCCCCCCCCAGCGACCTCCTCGTCTATATAGTGGCAAAGCTGTATCACCATTTATATACCCACCATGGATCTAAGATTGGGCCCATCGCTAAAAATCTGCTATTTATAGTCGTTATATTCATAGTCTGGCGGATAGAATCTCGGGAACCAATTGAGCTGTCAAATAGCGGAACCAATCGAGCAAATCACGACCAACAACAGAAAAGAGCACATCAGCTATTTCGAACAAAACTGCGGAAACCGTTTTCTCGTGATTCAAGGCTCGCCTACGCAAACTAACACTATCTTTGAGTTGGGGAAAGATTCCCCTATCCGATGATGCCGGTAATTTGCGTTCGATTGTCGAGGAAAGAATAATCAACGTTTGTTTTATAAAAGTTGATAGGACCTTTTTAATTGTTGGTCTACAATATATTGAATTGGTTCCGCTTTAGGTAATTTTTAACGTTAATTATTGGTAATCCATGATTACCGATAATTTAGGTACGTGCACTTTCTTTGATTATCGGTAATTTCTACCGATATTTAGGTATTCCTTACCGACTTTAAGGTATGTGCATCTTAGTGTGTACACTGTGTTTGGTGAATACACACCTCGATACACACTTAGAAAATAATACCGAACTCGGTTTAATTTTCCCCCGAACCTCTTAGGTTACCAACGAGAAACCGAATAAATGTTTTAACTACTAGATTCCCTTTCACAGATTTCAGAATAGAGTACCTAACCTTGGATTGATTTTCCATGCCCCGCCTTTAGAAAATGAGCACCAATCATGTTAGGCTGTCGATCGGTTTTGTTCTGCAAGCCAATGGAAAACTGCTTGAAAATTTTCTGAAGTTTGAAACTGTTTTGCTCATTCTTAGTTCACGCTGACGACGCTGGTTTTCATACTTTCATCACTGAGCCTGTTGGTTTTGTCTTTGAGCTTAAAATTAAAAATGTGTTATCAAAATCGATCATTTTTATGAGTTTACAATGCTTCACGATAGATAAGAACAGTAACTGCATTTATTGCTTCTGAATGTTTGGCTCCCGCTTGACAGTAACTGTTCACACTGGCTCCCATGTGACAACCACATTAAGTGAGTCCGCAGTAAAGCTGTTGCTTTTACTGTTGGGCTTTAGTCCGCAGTACCCAGATGTTAGGCAGTCCAAATGTCCGTAGTAACAATCACGTACCCATCATTTTGACCTAAGATTATCTTAAATAAATGAAAGTAAATTTGGATGAATGTTTTTGTATCACAATAGTTTGTATTGATTAAATCGATTTGTTTACATTTGATACTTAGGACCTTTTAACAAGTTACGCGTGAATTCTAAGGAGAATTTAGGCAAATCTTAATTAGAATTATTGAATGAAGCTTCAGTGAACTCTAGAAAGAATCAAACAATTCGACAGTGAGCATGCATAAGGGCCTATACGCGATGATCGATTCTCTTCGTCGATTTTCTCTTTTGTTAATTCGACAGTGAGCATGCATAAGGGCCTATACGCGATGATCGATTCTCTTCATCGATTTTCTCTTTGCATTGCTACAGCTAAGCGAAACAATTTTGTAGAATTTATTCAATGTAGAGTTGTAACAGGTTGCATTGTCCATCAAAAGCAACAGCAAACGCACCGACAAACGTTAAATCTGGCGAGTTATTAACAAAAGAGAAAATTGATGAAGAGAATCGATCATCGCGTATACGCCCTTATGAATGCTCACTGTCGAATTATTTGCTAGATTTAACGTTTCTCGGTGCGTTTGCTGTTGCTTTTGATAGCCAATACAACCTGTTACTACTATGCATTGAACAAATTCTAGAAAATTGTTTCGCTTAGCTGTAGCAATGCAAAGAGAATATCGATGAAGAGAATCGATCATCGCGTATTCGCCCTTATGCATGCTCACTGTCGAATTCCTAGAGCATCTTAGAATGAACTTAATGAATTATTGGGAGTGTACTGCAAAACATTTCTGGAACTCACCGCCCCCACCCGCTCAGAGAGAATCTTAAATTTATTTTAGAGGAATTCTGAAAAGAACGCTCTGAAGGGATCATGGATTCTAAAGGAAAGTATCAAAAACATTTTAGGTAGAAAAATTTTGAAAACCAAACACAGAAACAAGTTCAATTTTCTGAAAAATAATTAGTTGCCTTTGTAATGTCCTATTAAACCTATAAATCTCATTTGGATTCATACATCATTCAAATATACATCGCATAACAGGGCAAATTTCAAAAGTTCTTGAAATAATGGGAAAAACGGAAAATTTCTAATCGGAATTTGTTGATATTCTTTTTTAAAATCCGTACATTCATTAATTCAAACGTTTTTCTCAAAAACAGTGCTACACAATTGTTTCACCTCTGCTTTCTTGTGCCGTTCAACGTAGGGTGAGATTCAAATATGTAGATTCTGCATTATAGAATAGAAGTTAAGATGAATTACTGTACCAAGTGTTAAAATTTATTTAAAGAACTTGAAATATTGTTCATCGAGATACGGCGATTTTTCTGTAGTCACTTCTTTAACCAATTATTTTGTAGTCCTTTGTGACTTGTTCAGGGATGAGATTCAACCCTAAGCCTACCAGCGTGTGATTTCAATGTTATCGACCCTGTCCGAATTTGATATATCATAAAATGCAGGTTTACTATATTTACAAAATAACGGCACCGGTGGTGTAGTGGTAAGCGTGATTACCTCTCACCCCAGCAGGCCTGGGTTCAATCCCAGTCGGCGCCGCCGGGATGTTCTTGATATAATTTCAGTATTAAGCCGGTGATCGTTAAATTAAAACACAACTGGTTTCGTCTTCAGTCAAAGTACAACTCATCGGTTTATTTCACCTATTCTTTTACATCACTTCACTCGAGTGTGGATCCGAGCTATACGCTCTCTTACTCTCTCGACTCTCATCCATTCGAAGGTAACGGTCTGTTTTGCCTCACTACAAAACATCGAAATGGCATTGCCTACTGCACCGTTACAGCTCCTCTACCCTTAAGCTAATACTTAAAATCCTCAGAAAATTTCAAATTCAAAACCTACTTAAAATCATATGAGTTCAGAGAGCAAAATCGAATTCTAATGCAAAATCTCAAAATAATTAAAAACTTGAATCTTCGACAACTATATTAATAGTATTCAAAATCTTCTTTCCTTTTCTTCTTAAATTTTCTTTTTGAACGTCGAACTCCGTCGGTCGGAAGACCATTCTGCTGATGGCTCGCTGAGGTGACTTCTTCCCCCGAAAAAATAAAAGATTCGGCCGCGAACCCATAAAAATCAGAACTAGAGTCTGAGACGTTCGAAAACTCTTCTTCGTCATCTTCTCTCCTGCGCTTGCTACTGTGATTTGTCGATGGCTCTGAATGCGTTTGCTGCCCAAATGGATCAGTCGATAAAGGTACACTCTCTCCATGGAAAGCAAAAGCTCTAGTTGCTTTCCGGCAAGAGGCTGGCACAATTTTTAACTGGCGCTTGTGCGCTGAAACGACCCTGCCTCCCAGAGAAACCTGCGAAATATTTGTAGAGATCCGTTTTAGAAATTTGGCTGGTAACCATTGCCGAATGTCAGTTGGGTTATTGTTTTTATAATATATCAGATCTCCAAATTTAAGGTTAGTAAATTTATCAGATATATTATCTGAACTAAAACTATCACTACCTCTTTGGTGATCATCACGTGTTTCAGTCATGTTTCTTTTAAAATTATGCTTTGGATTAATTAAGTCTATCAAAATCTTTGGTCTGTATATTTGTAAATTTAAAGCTATGTATCCCATCCTCGTCGCCACTGATATAATTTCAGTATTAAGCCGGTGATCGTTAAATTAAAACACAACTGGTTTCGTCTTCAGTCAAAGTACAACTCATCGGTTTATTTCACCTATTCTTTTACATCACTTCACTCGAGTGTGGATCCGAGCTATACGCTCTCTTACTCTCTCGACTCTCATCCATTCGAAGGTAACGGTCTGTTTTGCCTCACTACAAAACATCGAAATGGCATTGCCTACTGCACCGTTACAGTTCTGAGGCATAACATCTCTGATCACGCCTTCCTTCGGATGGGAAGTAAAGCCGTTGGTCCCCGGTTCATGAGTTGATGGGTCGATAGGTAGGGTCCAGGTGTGGGAGCTGCCTTCCTGGCACGTCGGTAGCATTGGTGCTCAGCACGGAAAACAAGATCGACGGAAAAAACAAACCAAAGGAAAAAAAAAAAAAAATATTTACAAAATATTTTTTCTGTTTTGTTAATACCTACAAGTAAACACCCATGTTCTTATTTTTTTCTTTATGGTGCGAACGGTTAAAAAAAAATAAAAGAATATAGATGAATACCATCAACGACTAAGTAACACCATGCGGCTTCGAAATACGACGGCATGCGGCAGTATTCCTTTTATTATTCAAAAGAATGTTTATTTACATAATCATACCATCCGATCATACATTCTTAATGACTATCCATAAACTGTAAATCAGACACCAGCAGAATCGTCTGCGGCAGCGGCCTCGGTTGAGGCGACAAAATTGTCAGCACTTCCTTCTCCATGCTCACATCCGTAACGCAGATAAACCCTGCCACGTTGCTTTGAATGACGTTCTCCTCGAGGCTTTCGGCAAAACTGACCGCCAGGATGTGATGCAGCAGTTGATGGCTCGGTTGAACAGCCACCAGCTTGGTAAAGTTGTCCTCCTTCTTCATTCCCAACGGTAGGCACGAATCGGGCAGGGCGGGTGATCCAACTTTGAAAATTTTAACGTCACTAAACTTCACGTCAAAGGAATGCGGATACAGTGGCATCTTAGAGCCATAAAAATATTCACGGATTCGATTGTCACGGGCCTCCGCTCGCTGAGATCGAGTTCGCTCCACTACTCCTCCGCTTTTCGGTAGGTAAATCACCTGAACCGACTGACCAACATCCCGCAGCAGCTCGTTGTACAGCCTTTCTTGGTCCAGCACGAAAACCGCATTTACCTCAAACGCCCTAACGGCATGCAGAATATGTTTGTAGCCACTGCCCTTCACCCAACCGCACGTGTTGATGATCATTCCTGAATGTTTGGCTCTTTTGTTTGCCTGCAGCCGTTCCAAGGTCGTTTCTGCCAGTTTCGAAATCAGGACATTGTAGAAGACGTCATTGTCCGATGGTGACGTGTGTCCAAAGTGATACACCAAAGGAGCTTGCTGGGAAAATCCTTCCGCTACCGGTGCCGGTCGTTCCACCAGCAAAGCTCCAATCGTTCCCGGAATAGCGATTCCTCCCTGACCCACGTCCAAATCCACATAAATTGGCCGTCTTCCCAATCGAACGGCGTAATTCAAGAAGATCCGGCAAAGTGTTGTCTTCCCCACATCCGTTGGTCCCACAATCATTGCCACCGGTCCTTGCAACTCGTCCTGTTCTGCCTTCGCACGGAGATGCTCCAAAGCTGAGTTGCAATTCAAGTACTGCACCATTGGTGTTTCCCGAGCCACATAAGCAACATCCGGCTTTCCACGGAGCTCGATCGTGCATCCATGGTAGGTGAAGATGGCCACCTTGGCACCGACTCCGAACTCGTACGGTTTCTTCATTACCATTTCCGTACCGAACAGCTCGGCATGTCCGTTGAATAACTGAAATTGTCACTATTATCAAAAACATTTTCAAAACAACGCGGCGACAAAAAGCGACTTACCGTAACGATAGCTTTCTCATTTTTGTTTTCAATCTCAAAGCGAAGTTCCGAATCCGTTTCCAATTTATATTCTGTCCGTGGTCCATGTTGCTCGTCACTCATGTTGCTGGATTTGTGGCAAGGATAAACCCAACTCCCGCTGGAAATTCAAAATAATATCGAAATTTGGAAAAGGAATGTTAAGACTGATGGTTTAAGTTAAATTTTATTTTCATTTCACTGACATTTTCATGCTGTTTGTAAACAAAGAGATTTTGACAGTAACTGTAACTATTAGGTCAACATATTCAGCTACTGAAACACTTCCTGGAGTGGGGAGTAAAACCGGTAAAACCCTTAACACGCTAATTTAAACTCCCTCACCGGGTGAGTCGATCGTACTCACTTTCATCCGCACTGTAACTGGAAAGTATGGGTATTAATGGGTACAATTTCACCCTTTTTGAAGTAAAGTAGGTAAACCCATTAAATGGGTAAACAACTATCCAATAATGGGTAAGTAATACTAATATATGAGTAATTGCTATCCAGTGTGTAAACGTTACGTTACCCATTTAATGGGTTAACCTACTTTACTTCAAAATGGGTGAAATTGTACTCATTAATGGGACTTTCAAGTTAGAGTGCGATCAGTGCGATGTATCGAGTTGTCAAAAACTGAACACGGCGAATGAGAACGACCCAAATTTGAGTTTAGTTCACTCATAATCGCCAAAAGTGCAGGAACTCAGCGATGAGTAAATTTGTCTCATGGTTTCCTGTGGAAAACCTAAAAAATCTGCCGGAAAATGAGGAAACTGACGAAAATTTTATTCAGTTTCCGAGTAGTACCAATAGACTGAGTGAGTCCAATCTTTACTTTTCTCAAATTCGGGAATTTTTCCCTGGAAAATTCTGGAAAAAAAAGTAGAGGGTCTGTGCCTAGGGGCACGAACGGAACAAATGTGAACATTTAGTTCTTTTAATTGGTCAATCATCAATTATCTTAACTCTTTCGTGTTTTATTTGTAAGCTTATCAAATTTGTAGTATTTATTTCAAAGAGAAAGTTGATGAAGAGAATCCAAGGGACTGTCAACTTGAGTATTTTGGTTTTTTTTTAAATTGCGTGGATTCTATAGATCCTGTGGAGATCTATCTATGTAGATGTATGTGTTAGTAGAGGGAAAAATGTAAACTTTGCGGGAGACGATGTCTTAACACTCGAAAGCAATTTTGTGAAATATGAAGTAAAACAAATCCTAGGTAGTTCTGCATAATGATTTTGTTTGATTTTATTTATTTATAAAGTCGCCGCGAAATACCAGCTGGCGATTTGTTTTTTATGATAACTCCTTACTTGAAAACACAAAAGCTCACAAACAGGCTGCTTTTTTATGGTATACAGTGTGATAAATCAATAATAAATAAATTATTTCAACATTTAGTGTTAAACCATTCATAAATTTTGGTAACATACAAAAAAATCTATAATCCACATTAAATTTCATATGTAAGCGCCGATTGAAACAATCTTTTCGACGTCACTACAAGGGTGATTGATTAAACGAAAGAAACGAATCGTGCGGAATGAAAGCCGAGGAAAAACTAATTGCACCAATATATTGAGGCCTACAATTCCACACCTTCTATAGACAGGTTGAGCCTTGATAGTTAACTGCTTGCAGAAACTGATGACCTTGACCAATTTCCAAATAATACTCTTTAACAAATTTTTGGTGGCCCTGAAAAGGACCGTTTTGTAGTGATGGTTGAGTAATTCTGAGCTGGGTGTTCAACACGGATGAGGCTGTCGAGCTGTATGTCGCTTGGCATAGATGACCGACCCGCAGCAACTAACGAAGAGCTACTGATTCCGATCCATAGCATAGCGGTGCAACTTCTTCCTCCTTTGATGGTTGCTTATGTGGGCTCTGCAGCTCGCTGCTTGCAGGCAGCCTTTCGTTGTTACTGGAGAACAATTTTCAACGCCACACGCCGAAAGCACTGCTACTGCTGCTACTAATTTCGACGACCGAACACCACCACACAGTGGTGTGGTCGTTGGGAGCGTGTGGCTCTGAGTATGGCGATGAGTGTGCAAAATATTACGCAATTCCATCCTCCCTATTCGCACGCGCCCGAGGATCGGAGGCGAATGCCACTTTGACTTGTTTCGTCTACTTACTACTCTCTGACGACTGTGCTGGGGAAGCAGCATATGCATGTAGGTAATTGGTGGATTTGTTAGTTAATTCGACGCTTTTGGACAATGCTAGACATTTTCCAGTTTTTCAATAGTTTCTTGTTAAAATTCAACATTCGGAAGCATTTTTATCGATGCGTAGCCATATTTCTGATCGATTGGTGATAAAATTATTGAAATTGGACCAGGGACAGCTGAGTTATTGACGTTCAAAATCTTTCTTAATTTGTTACATGTTCCATTTTCGGTTTTCACAAAGTGTACCCCCATATAGAAATCAAAGACGTAGTCCTACGTCAAAACCTGGGAAAACATGAGACAAATTTTACTCATCGCTGAGTTCCTGCACTTTTGGCGATTATGAGTGAACTAAACTCAAATTTGGGTTGTTCTCATTCGCCGTGTGGACTTAGAAAAAAATGCCAGTCATGTCGGAGGAAACGTCCTAAGCAGGGTCCTAAGTCAATGTTACTCAAAACCGACTGAAATGTAGGTAAGCAGGAATTGCCTTGGGAATTGCTTAGGGAAACGGTGTTGAACCATTTTCTGCTCCGGTAGACTGAATCCGGAGCAGGCAGATTTCCTTTCCTTGAAAAAAAATCAAAACAACGCCCTCTCACACCACGCTACTGAAAATAACTCACTCATAATCGCCAAAAGTGCAGGAACTCAGCGATGAGTAAGTTTGCCTCATGGTTTCCTGTGGAAAACCTAAAAAATCTGCCGGAAAATGAGGAAATCGACCAAAATTTTATTCAGTCTCGGAATAGACTGAGTGAATCCAATCTTTATTTTTCTCAAATTCAGGAATTTTCCACTGGAAAATCCTGGGAAAACATTAGGCAAATTTAAACGCTGTCCAGACTGGAGAGTTATAACATGTTATAACGGTTGTCAAATAATTGCAACACAGAAACCACCATCAAGATAGCGCTATAACATGTTATAACTCTGTAGTCTGAACGTACTATTACTCATCGCTGAGTTCCTGCACTCTATGTGATTTATGAGTTGACTAAACTCAAATTTAGGTTGTTCTCATTCGCCGTGCACAGTTGGCCTAATTGCCAGCACCTTTTGTTTTCTGTTTGCATCAACGCTGAAGTTTACACGGCCAATGAGAACAACCCATATTTGAGTTCGGTTTACTTATAAATCGCAAAAAGTGCAGGCACCCAGCGATGAGTAAATTTGCCTTTCTCAGATTTTTTCCAGGATAAAATTCCCGAATATGAGAAAAGTAAATATTGGATTCCCTCAGTCTATTGGTAATACTCTCACTGAGTTCGTAATTTTTTCTCATTTTCCGGCAGATTTTTAAGGGGGGTTTCCACAGGAAAACATGAGACAAATTTACTCATCGCTGAGTTCCTGATCTTTTCTTTTTGCGATTATTAGTAAACTGAACTCAAATTTGGGTTGATCTCATTGGCCGTGAAAATAGGTCAAAATAACAACATTAAATTATTTGGGAAAACGGCGAATAAAGTGAAAAACAATTATAATTACAACATTGAAATTCTAATACAATGAGTAACATTTATATCCAAGAGCCTCCGACCGCTGGAAAGGTACGTTTAGAGAATCCTTTCTAATTCTATGCCCAACAAATAACGATTCCTCCAAGGTGCTGCTGAAAACAACCGTCGGCGACATCGATATCGAGCTATGGTCCCGCGAATGTCCACTGGCTTGCCGCAACTTTATCCAACTATGCATGGAAGGATATTACAATGGGACGCTGTTCCACCGAGTGGTGCGGGGCTTCATTGTGCAAGGTGGCGATCCCAACGGAGATGGAACGGGTGGCGAATCAATCTACGGCCATCCGTTCAAGGATGAGTTCCATTCCAGGTTGCGGTTCATTCGGCGCGGACTGGTGGCAATGGCCAATTCCGGGAAAAACGACAATGGATCGCAGTTTTTCTTCACGCTGGGAGCTACGCCCGAGTTGCAGAATATGCACACGCTTTTCGGAAAGGTGGGAGGAGATACGATTTATAACATGTTGAAGTTGGAGGAGGGAGAAGTGTACGAAAATGAGCGACCACATTTTCCGTACAAGATATTAAAGACGGAAATCTTACACAACCCATTTCCGGATATCATTCCGAGGGTGTTGAAGGTGAAAAAGTCTGGGGAGGATAAAGAGAAGAAAAAGAGGGAGAAGGGTGTAAAGAATTTCGGATTGCTATCTTTCGGGGATGAGGCGGAAGAAGAGGAACAGCAAACGAGTCAGTATGTGCAGCGCAACACTACGGGAAAGGGCAAGAGCTCTCATGATGTGTTGGACGATCCGCGGCTGAGCAAGCAGGCGATTGAGGTGAAGGATAGCTCTGAGAAGAAGAAAAAGAAGGAGAATGAGACATCGAGCAGCTCGGAATCTGAGGATGACGAGGAAGCGAAGCGTCGGGAAGCTGGTCGAGATAGGGAGCTGGTTCAACAACAGGCAAAAAGCGTCAGGGATAAGCTGAAGAAACGTAAGTTGAAGGTAGTTGGTGGCTTGCAGAAAATGTATGAGTTCATTTCGTTCTTTTTTTTTCAGACAAAGAAGAACCGAAACCTCCGTCGTCATCCGATTCGGATTCCGATTTTGGCTTGGAAAGTGAACGGAAAAAAGTTAAACATGAGCAAGCGGCCAAGATAAGAGAGGAAATTACCAAGCTCAAGAAGGACTACCAATCCGACAAAAAGAAGGAGCAACAGAAAGAGGAGAAGATTGAAAAGAAAAAGGAAGTGAAAGAGGTCATGAAGGAGTTCTTCTCCGTTCAGGAGCAGTACTCGGAGAAAAAGAAACAGCTACCGAAGAAAGGTAGTTCGAGGGAGAGCTTCACCCTTCAACTGTTGGAGAAGTTCAAGAGTAAATTGCACAATATTAAAGATCAGACCGACGATGAAGAGGCTAGTGGAAGCAGACCAGTAGTCGATGAAGAGGAAGATATCCAAGGGGATAATTGGCTTTCACATCGGCTGCAGTTTGAACAAAACGACCCGATCCTGGCGAAGGACGCTGTAACCAAGGGCGATGATTGGTACGATGTTTACGATCCGAGAAATCCATTGAACAAAAGGAAACGTGGCGAGAAAAATGAAAGGAAGGATAAACTTGCGAAGTAGCACAGGTAAATGTTTCGTTTTAAATACATTAATTTATTTCATTAATCTAGATGTGCAAAAACTATAACGCTAAAATAGTATGCAAAAGTTGAGAAGAGTATGAATGTATGGAACACAAAAGAAATTCCTCGAGAAGCTTGTACATTATTAAGCTGTATTGCAGACCTGATGTGCTGCGAAAAAATAAGTTCTAAAATTTGTCACTAAAATGTGTTTATTTGGACTAGCGCATCGCTTGCATCAAACGAATCCACTGAAAATTGCGTGCGCACTTTGGAATGTTGAAACCGATTAGCCTTCCACAAATTTTGACCTCTTCAAACCGCCAACTTTTGAAGCGTGGATAGTAGCGAATTGACATCGCTATCGATTTCGGTCCTAATATTCAAATTCTCCACCTGATCAACGATCGAATCGAAATCAATACTCCTTCCCTTGATTCGATTTAGCTGCTCCTCAAACTCCTCCAGCATTTCCTCCAGTCGGCGCTGGTGCATGTGGCCAGCTTGGCTCGGATCCAGATACAGCAAGCTTCCGCTTCTCACCTGTTGTTTAAAAACCTCAAAAATCATCTGACAAACCTTCACCACATTGTTCCTGTGTGTATGAATGTCACTCTTGGTCAGTCTCTGCATCTTCGATATGATCCTATCCGACAGCCGCAGCTTCCCGATGGCAATCTCCAGTGCAATCAGTCCATTCGAATCCTTCAACGTCACATTCGTCCCATACTTGAGCAGTAAGTCTATGATCGTAATATTCTCCGTACAGGAAGCCAAATGTAGTGGGGTATTCTCATTTAGATCTCTTATATTTGGATTAGCACCGTTCTCCAGCAACAGCCGAACCGTATCCGTAAATCCACGACTGCATGCAATGTGCAGAGCCGAGCGATTGAACGTCGGTTCCCTCGTATCCGGACTGAAACCCTTGTCGATCATGTTCTGCAGCACTTCCGAATTGTTAACCATGGCGGCGTTCAGGAACTGCGATACCAAGGCCGCTTTTGGACGGCTCGTACTGTACGGGCTGCTGCGGCTTGTTTTAGACCGCTCCAGTCTAAGTTTGAATCCGTGACGGCTTCGTTCCAAATTCTCAGCCACTCGGATCGCCTCTCGCCATTGTTCTTCCGAGGGACCTGGTGGCGAGGGAGTCGCCTCCCGGACGGTTTCCGCTTCATCCTGGGGGCTGGAATTTGGGGTGGCGGCTTCCGTTTCCTGCATTATGCAGGAAAACTAGCTGAAAATGGATTTCTATTATTCGAGAGTAATCGATTCTTCCAGCTGTTTGGAAAACAAAACAAACTTGAGTTGAGTTGAGACTGTCAAAGTATTTGGTTGCACCCACCACGGGTCGACCGGTGATTCCGTTATCACGAAAAGTATGGTGTGTACGAGACTGAACCAACACTGATGTGTATTCTCTCGCACAATTTTTCAAATAGACTATAGACACTGATAAATTGAACTATATTCCCATTTTGCTTGAAATTTAATCATTAAACTCAGTTTAATCATATCGAATGATTAAGAATTAATCCTCTCGTTCTAAAAAATAAGGATCTGGTATTAATCCCAGTTTAATCATGGTTGATTAGACTGTAGGTTATCTTTTTTTGAATAAATTTTAATCATTTTTGATTCTATTTTAAAAAATTTTGATTGAATTTAAATTTTTTTTTATTATATATCAGTATTGAAAAAGAATAAAATTTAAGACTGGAAAGATTATTTCGATTTTAATCATGCATGACTACTGCCGAAGTAATCATGGCTCGGACTCAATAAGGTGAAGCGGGAAACTGCATACTTTTTAAGCTTTTTTGATTTAATTTATCTTCGAGTGTACAGAGATTCGCGGAAATCAAGCTGAACATTGCATTAGGTCCTTAGTAACATTGATAGCACTAACGAAGTGACAGACGGAGCGACTCGAAAACTTTGGTGACTAACCTGCTATTGCAATTTTTCAGTGTACCACATGGCAACACCACTATAGTATAGTATACTACTGGATTGTACTACATGGCAACACTACTACTGGATTGAACTAGCATTTTCACCAAATGTACTAGAAAGTTTTGGTTCTATCTCTTTCACTCTACTCAAAACTGAAATGCATAAAAAATGACAAAATGATACACTCTTTGCACACTGTCAAAGAATCATTGTACCACAAAATCAACTTTGAGCAAAACCAAAACAAAAATACTACACACTTAAATTTTTTCGCCGAGATTCCAACAGCCGAGTAGTTCTGCAATTTATTTTGCTGAGATTCAGCAAAACAATTGCCGAGACTCAGCTAACAAATAACATTTTGCTGAGATATCAGCTAACAAACAGATATTTTGCAGAGATATCAGCAAAAGTAAATGCCGAGGTAATCGGCTGTTGGAGATTTTACCGAGCTAGATTAAGTGTGTATCCCATTTGGTGGCTGATGGCACAAGCTTCTAAGAAAATTCTATTACAGCGAACCACATTATTTTAATTGATTTCTTCGCCAGTTAGTCGTCTGTCACTTCGTTTGTGATTGATAGATTCTCTTTGTCGACTTTCTCTTTGGATCCCCACGGTCATATGAAGTATGAAGTATCTTTTATCTAGCATCTAATACACGAAACGAAAATTAATTATTTTATTCATGTGTTTCACTTATACATTTTTGCCAAAACATCAGCCTTATACATTCCATAAGACATACCACATACGTCCTATAAGAACGCATAAAAGGTATGTCTGACCATTTATACATTTCATTTGACACATGATCTTCATTAACATTTTGCAAGGCGTCTGCTTATTAGTTGACTTATACATTTTATGAATAATCAGCAATGGAAATTTGCCAAAAGGTATAGGGGATTTCTATCCGTGTACGACAAACACATCAAGAAACGGTTCTGTGCTCAAGTTATTGACAAAAGAGAAAGTCGGCGAAGAGAATCGATCAATGCTACTTAGGGTCCATGCATTAATTATGTCACACTAAATCGAGGAGAAATTTACTCTTATCGTTTTTCCTATACCTAATGCATTGTTTGTCACAAAATCTTAGCGTGACATAATATATGCATCAACCCTTAGGGCCTTATGCAATGTTCAGCTTGTCAGCTTATCAGACGATTTGGCAACGTGATTTGTTTTGTTTACAAAAGCTACCAACACTTGCCAGGGATCAAAATGCCCCAGCTTTGTGCGTGACTTTATCGTTGTCTACGCTACGATTTCTCCGCTTCGCGCTCCGTAATCTCAATGAGCTGGATTACCGAGGTGAAGCAATCGGTTAAGTTGTGTGAGTGAAACCCTTGTACGATACAACCAATTAGTGACGTCACTAATTGACCACTTTGTCAAGCAGTTTTGGCGTGAGTTTCTACCAGCGATTTCACAAAACTGGACAAACTAATTTCTATTTTTGTATGAAACGCACAAATGTTGGCTACTTTTCTCGAGGTTCTAGAAGAAAAAATCTCAAAATAATGTTTTATTTCAAAGTTCGAGTGGTAGTAAACGTCATTTTAACTACTCGAATGGAGTGATTAATTGGAGATACGCACTTCGTCTTCCAAGCTACGAGAATCGCTACCAATTGATCAATGTCGAGCCCTTACATATTCAAAGAGATGTTTTCAGAGCCTTAACTGTCGCCGATACTCTGCAACAAGTGAACATTAATGTTCAACCTCGATCACTACGCAACAGTCTTATGCTAAAGGGTCACCCACATTAGATCCGTTTGCGTTGCGTTGACGTAAATTTGACAGTTAGACAATAGATTTAGCTGTCACTTTGCCGCAACGCGTCCAACCTGAATCTAATGTGCGTGGGCCTTAAGACTTAAACTTCTTCGAACTAATTATAGCTTAAGGAGCGCTATTTACGGTTTGCAGCGAGTGTTCAACCGAGTAGCGTCGATGTTCGATTTCCACTTGACACGGAATATGCTTCGCCGAAGATTTTCTGCCTTTTTTGCTGATCGAAGGCGCATGACACACAACAGCTAAGTGTAAAATTTTAGACTTATACATTTTTAGTAACTCGACTGTGCTTTCCTTGTTATTTTCGTTTGTAACTGTAGTATATGTAGCCTGTATAATCTGTACTTTTTTTTTTACAATACATCATTGGGACTATTTCTAGTCGGTTGATGCAAACATAAAAATAAATAAATAAACATTTTGTTAAATAAACGTTGTTTGAATTCTCAGTGAACTGGTGAACTATTTTTGCCTAACCGCTGCTAGAATTTTGCAGACTACCGTCGATTTTTTCCTAGTGAATTCTATTCGTTTGAGCAGTGTATGTTACAATGATAATTATTAAATGGGGCTTCGAGCGAGGCGCACGCAATACAAAGAACCGGTGCGTTGCAATCAAAACTACTTAAAGTAATTAATACGTTTTGAAGTAGTACTGACGGTAATTAAAATTAAGAGATGTACTAGTCTATGGCTAAAAATCTCACAAATAAAGAATTAAAAAAAGGTAATTAAAATTGTCTATTCGTAATTAATGTAATTAAAAGTATTGAAAATGTAATTACAGTATGCAAAAAAAGTTTATCCACCCCCCTACCAATTAACATTTCTTTTTGTTTTTCTGGTGAAAATCAGTTTAATTTTATGAGTGTTCCTCCATGATTTATCAATTTATGTTTATTTATCACATTGCCGTTGAAAATACGGCGTTTATATCTTTTCTTATATCTTTCGGCGTTTAGAGGTTACTCTAAGACCAGAAGGTCCCGAAGAAACGTGCTCAACTTTTTGGCTCAGCTCTGGTACTATCTTCGGTCCCAAGCTAATCGATTCACCCCTCGAAACCTAGGAAAATCCACTAACCCCTCATTTTATCTGTCAAACTTTCATAGCCAAACAAAACAAACATTGTGTAGTACAAGAATTCCGACTAGAATGGGATACGTTAATCGTTTGCTTGGGACCAATAGGCTAGTCAAGTAGTGAGCCAATTTCAAATCGATAGTTTCGTATTGATTGTTGGTTTTAGCAACAATCAATACGAAACTAACGATTCAAAATTGGCTCACTACTTGACTAGCCAATTGGTCCCAAGCAAACGATTGACGTACCCCATTCTAGTCGAAATTCTAGTACTATGCAATGTTTGTTTTGATTCGCTATGAAAGTTTGACAGATAAAATGAGGGGTTTTTCCTACACGGAAAAACGAGTTTATGCATTGATGACTATTTTTTTAACCACTTTTGAGAGCTTGTTCGAGCTGTCATAGAGTGGTTGAAATTTATAGCAAAAAAGTGTATAGAATTTAGACATTTCCAGAGAAAACCATTTTTCAACAAAAGTGTTTAAATTTTATTCACTGGTGGCTGAAAAAAAACTTGGGAACAATTATTTTCCGAAAAGCAGCGGCCATCATTGGTCAACTTTTTGCAGGTAGATAGATTGTTTATAGTATTATTTATAATCTAGATACAATTTAATAGTAATTTATAATTTTCTTATTATTTCAAGAGAGCGGTGCGAACTTTATCTTTAAAAGTTTTTCCAGAGGATCTAGTGAGCTGCAGATTCAGCTGCTACAAGCGTTGTCCGGTACGGTTGGACATGCCAACTGGAATATCCTGTCGCCGTGTGAGATCAGGCCAAAGACATGGCCGATGCTAATAGTAAGTATATCTATACAGCAAAAAAAAATTACTATCGATCAACGTAATTCAAGCTGATGTATGAAATAATGATGTAATAGCAAAAATCAGATACATCAATGGATGTAATTTTGTTCGCAAAATCGGTATACATTGTACAACGTCATATTACACAACCAGCGGAATTACCTCTGTGCAGCTGTTTGGATGTAATATTCAACAACTTTTTTTCTGTGTAGCAAGGTACATTATTTTGTAACTTTTGATCCCCATTACAGAGGGCTTCAATCGGCAGCACGACGATCCGAATCTACTCTCATTATTTTGTAACTTTTGATCTCCATTACAGGGCTGCCAGCGGCACCACGACGATTCGGATCGAGTTCGTCGGGCAACGCAACGGAATGGTTGCCGAGCACGACACGGGAAGGTCGACGAAGGGATCGTGAAAAGAAACATCCGAGTTCCACCTGGACGGGATGTCGAGCGATGACAAAATGGCCGACATTGTAGTGTCTTGAAAACTTGAGTTAAATGGTGTGATCTTGCTCTGCCCAGATGTACCTTCTTATTGTTTTTATTGTACAAGAAATAAATATTACTTTTTGTTGATTTTTATTTGAATGTAATTGTTTGTATGATATGTTGAAAATACACGAAACCAACCATTTAAAATCGTTCCGGTGTATAAAATTTAACCACTTTTGAGAAAAACGTCTTTACTCATTAATGATTAAAATTTAATCACTTTCGAGAAAAACGCGTTTATTCATCCGATGAGTAAACAGCGTTTATTCATTTTATGAATATGTGCGGGTTTTCTCGAAACTGTTAAAAATTTAAACATTAATGCATACTTTTTTCTTAGCGTGCATGTTTCGAGGGGTGAATCGATTAGCTTGGGACCGAAGAGAGTACCAGAGCTGTGCCAAAAAGTTGAGCACGTTATTTCTGGACCTTCTAGTCTTAGAGTTACCTCTATGGTTTAAGTGTGTATTCTGCAACTTTATCGAATGTTAACATTGTGTCTATCTGTCATTTAGTGCTCTTGAAGTTTTCGTGCTCAAAATTTCAGTTTTGTGTTCACAATTGGAAGTTATTTGTTTCAAAATGCCTAAAAAAGATCGAATTTCGATCAGAAGCTGAAATTTGATTATTGAACATCACAAAACTCGCAAAAGCTACCGTGATATTGCCGATATTGTCCAGCTTCACAAAGATACGGTCGCTAGAATTGTGCAGATGTACAAAAAGCGTGGTTCTATCTCACCAGCTAAGCGATCGGGGCGTCCTTCAAAAACAACTGGCCGAATTGACAGAGCTATCGTGAAGAAGGCGGAGCTGGACCGGGGACTATGAGCTCTAAAAATTGCGAAACAGATTGAAAGCGAGTTTTCCATTCAACTGACATCACAATGCGTACGAAATCGTCTTCATAAGAAAAGTCTTAAGGGCAGAGTAGCTCCGCCTTCTTCACGATAGCTCGGTCAATTCGGCCAGTTGTCTTTGAAGGACGCCCCGATCGCTTAGCTGGTGAGATAGAACCATATTAGACAAGCGAGCTAGGACAACTTTAAGGAAGGTACAAATCGGTTTTTTCATCTCTTTACCAAACTCCCCCTTTGGAGAGGGATGGTGAGGGGTGTCCCCCCCTTCCTTCAAATAACAACTGAAGTGCGGTAAAAAATCGGTAGAACTGTTTCAAACACACAGTTGGTACATGAGCGGGTCGGTTTTCATCTCTTTTTGCCAGTGGTGGCGGGGGGGACACCCCTCACCATCCCTCTCCAAAGGGGGAGTTTGGTAAAGAGAGATGAAAAAACCGATTTGTACCTTCCTTAAAGTTGTCCTAGCTCGCTTGTCTAATATCTATATACAATCTTCACACTGCCGTACTCTAACGGAACTATCAACTCTATGCTTTCATCTACTCCATCTATCGTATAAAAATTACCACTACAGTCTGTTATTTGAAATTAGCATCTTCAACTACATTTTTCATAGTTTATCACATGGAATCTCAAGAAAAGATATAAACGCCGTATTTTCAATGGCAATGTGATAAATAAACATATATTGATAAATCATGGAAGAACACTCATAAAATTAAACTGATTTTCACCAGAAAAACAAAAAAAAAACGTTAATTGGTAGGGAGGTGGATAAACTGTTTTTGCATACTGTGATGTATTTTAATACGAAATTTCAACTCTAATTAATGGAGTTAAAAAGTAGTTAATGTTCTACATTGTGTAATTAATATAATTAAAGCAGTAGTTAATGGAATTCATTTAATTACAGCCGTTGCCTGCGTTGGAGTTAAAGGTTATTGCGTGCCCCTAGGATACACTTCTTGTAGCAACCGAAAGGTGATGTTTCAATGCACATTTTGAAAGTGCAAAGAAAGCGTAATCGTGTGAAATACATAAATTTATACAGAAAGAGAGGAGGATTAGTCAGTTCCATTTAATTCCACTACATTAATTGCTTATCCTTGATAGATATGCGTATTTCGTCTACAATGTGCGGACTTCTTCACTTCAGTCTAAAAATCTCTTGAATAAAGAAAAAAAAAATCTTCACTTCAGACACTGAAGAATTAATTAATTAATTAATTCAGACACTGAAGAAGTCTGTACATTGTAGACGAAATACGCGTATCTGCCAAGCATAAGCAATTATGGTAGCGGAATTAAATTGAAATTTATAATCCTTCTCTCTTTATTTATACAGGAATTCCACTATAGACGTCCACCAGGATACATATTTTAATATTTATGTCACTAAAAATGCAAGTAAAAAGAGACTGCAAGTTGGTTACTTCAGCAAAAACATGCGTAATGTAAAGTTCTGAAAGAGTTTTGAACACATTATTTACCAGAAATCAATGCAGGAAAATTTAACTTAATAAAACCTATTTTTAAGGATCACCCTAAGTTACCTATTAAAACTTTATATAATGAACCATTAGAGACAGACAACTGATTTCTTGAGCAAAGTTATGACTATCACTTATCGAGTCAACAAAATAATCCAGCACGTAATATAATCATGATATGTCCTTGTGATTTTTAATGATAAATAAGAAAAATCCTAGGATCGTCCTTCGGGGTTTATTGTGTATAATCATAGTTATTCAAAAGCCAACGGAGCTCGAGTGTTTCCCAAATTCAGATTACAACTTTCATTAAAAGCTTTCTTCATTGCTGTTACCCAGTCACCTAAAAATAAAAGTAAAAAGATTTGTAATAAATTCAAAATTGTTCCAAGAGCTAAATCAAATTTTTTATAAACTCCTTATATTTTTAAAAGTTTTAAATAAAACAGTTAACATTACTGCTTTAACATTCTTACCATGTTTCAAAATATCCGAAATTCTAAAATTCAGCTGTTTCTGCTTGTCCCGTGCGGTATCCAGCTGCCCACTATTGACGCAGTCGATTATTTCGTTGGAAATTTCTGGACAAATGTTTAAAGTGGTCATAATGAAGGAATCGAATCCAGCGGCCACCGCACCGCAAAGTATGGTATCCGCACCTAAGAAAATCGTTCTTCCTGGTTTCAGGCAACCAGATCCCTGATCTAAATCACCGCTGGTGTACTTGATGCCGCAAAAATTTGGAATCGCTAATTCGGCCATATCCAAGAACGTTGGCATGTGTACTGAAAAATTGTGTTATTAAGAATTTAGTTTAATTTATATCTAGTCCTGAATGAAGTATACCATTAACGTCTGTAAACATCGGTATGTGGTAATAGAAAAATGGAATGTTTGGACAATAAACGGCAACGTTTTTCAAATAATCTGTCAGTTTTTCGGGTGTTTTCGGTTTGAAGTACAGCTCTGGCAAACAAAGCACTCCATCTACTTGGAGTTTCTCGGCATGCTTTGCCAACTCAACCACATCAGGATAGGGTGCACCTCCTATCTGCACCATCAGCACAATTCCGTTCAAATCACAAGCTTTCTTCCAAGCCTCGGTCACTTGTTTTCTTTCCAGGACAGTCATCAACATTCCTTCCCCCGAGGTGCCATTGACAAGAACTGCGTTGACGCCCTTCTGCTTCATATACTTTGCGTAGGGTTCAATAATTTCATAATTGACGGTTTTGTCTCTGAAAGATAAGTTTTTAGGTAAACATTTTGAATGGATAATACTTGATTATTGCAATCATACTTATCATCGTGATATGCTGTAAATACTGGGGCCATCAAGCCCTTGTAGGCGAAATTCTTCATCGCGAGCCAGAAGATGAATGCTACTTACGATGATGTGTTAATTAGAATGAAAGACTTACAATAGTAGACAATGTTATCACGTCTTATCGCACAAAATGCAAGCTTGTAAATAACAAGGCGTTAACAAAACAACGGTTATGGTTATTCGAGATTCATAGCATCCGTTACCTGTCTGATAAGATTGTTTATATTCAAAGTGTTTTTTATGTTACTTCATACGCGAAGTTAACGATTTTCAGAGTTGGTTGGAAATGCTAACATGAAGCTTTAGTGTGATGATTTATTAGCTAGAGAATGATCTTTAGAAGAGGGTAGGTGGATAGTTCCGTTAGAGTACGGCAGTATGAAAATTGAATAGAAGTTGAAAATGAGCGAAGGGCCATTAAAGCGACAGCTTACAAGATAGACGCACATTTTTGCCTAGCCCGTACGATGTACGCGGGGACTTGAAGTATGTCTCCAAGTCCACAGGCAAAAATGTGCGTCCCTCTTGTTGCTCATAAACTGACGGCTACTCCCGCCTTGAGTTGTTACATTCATTATAACACACCATCGACTGGAAATGCTCTCGCGACGTGGGGCTTTAGGTAGTGATGAAAACGTCGCTAGAACTATTCCACAGCCGCAGTCAGTTTATGAGCAACAAGAGGGACGCACATTTTTGCCTGTGGACTTGGAGACATACTTCAAGTCCCCGCGTACATCGTACGGGCTAGGCAAAAATGTGCGTCTATCTTGTAAGCTGTCGCTTTAATGGCCCTTCGCTCATTTTCAACTTCTATTCAATTTTCATACTGCCGTACTCTAACGGAACTATCCACCTACCCTCTTCTAAAGATCATTCTCTAGCTAATAAATCATCACACTAAAGCTTCATGTTAGCATTTCCAACCAACTCTGAAAATCGTTAACTTCGCGTATGAAGTAACATAAAAAACACTTTGAATGTAACAACTCAAGGCGGGAGTAGCCGTCAACAATGCTGATGATGGTACAGCACGCAACAACCACCCTACTGCTTTCTCTCTGAGATGATCACGTTGGTCATGACGAGAGGAGCAACACAATAGTTGGGTAAAGAAGAACTGCATTATAACACACCATCGACTGGAAATGCTCTCGCAAACGTGGGGCTTTAGGTAGTGATGAAAACGTCGCTAGAACTATTCCACAGCCGCAGTCAGTTTATGAGCAACAAGAGGGACGCACATTTTTGCCTGTGGACTTGGAGACATACTTCAAGTCCCCGCGTACATCGTACGGGCTAGGCAAAAATGTGCGTCTATCTTGTAAGCTGTCGCTTTAATGGCCCTTCGCTCATTTTCAACTTCTATTCAATTTTCATACTGCCGTACTCTAACGGAACTATCCACCTACCCTCTTCTAAAGATCATTCTCTAGCTAATAAATCATCACACTAAAGCTTCATGTTAGCATTTCCAACCAACTCTGAAGATTGTTTATATTTCTAGACTAACATTTGAAAGGGGCGGAAGAGCCAAAATGTAAATAAACCATATTTTGCCACATATAGAGAGAATAGTTCAAAAACTACTCGATAAACACGAAAAAGTAGAAGAAAATATCACTTCAAATCAAGACCAACAATTGAAATGGCCTTAACTCCATTTGGTAAACAAACCTTGTAAGGCCATTTTCTCGCGAACCTAAACCACAATCGGGTAGAGGAGAATTTCCCCTACTTGTTCATTATGTTGGTTTGCCTTTGCGGACTTCGGTTCGCGAGAAAATGGCCTTACAAGGTTTGTTTACAAAATGGAGTTAAGGCCATTTCAATTGTTGGTCTTGAAATCATCAAAAACGTTTCTTCTTACATGGCGTATTTCCAACTTTCAACTCTATGATGCATCTGGTTGTTACACCTTGCACCAAAACTACGAATTATATCGTTTTAATATGCCAAACGTATTGAGTCTGTAGTATCTAGTCACGCCCGATTCATTTGAAATGCATCCGATTAATAGTTCACGTGTAAACAACGAACAAAAAGAAGACCAAAAAATCTCCGGGCGTTATTCCACTCTCACAAAATTTGCGAACGAAGAACCAAGGCGGAACAACAAACAAAAAATCTCGAGGGTGTACTTCCACGGCGTATCACCAGTGTTGGCAGTTCAAAGGGTGGAAGATCCGGGGGGTAACAACATGTATGAAATTATCAGGACGTATGATGTTTTCTTCTCGATTTAACGACAAAGAAAACTTTTTTGAGTTTTTAGTGATGCATGATGATAGATTACACTATTAACTATATGTCAAGCTTATAAAATCATCCAGAAAATGGAAAGTTGTGAAATAGGATTAATTTTTAGGTCATCAAAATTCAGAAGCGATTTTCTCGATATGGTCATTTTGGAATTACGCTCTTTTCAAATCAGTGCCAACATTTCAAAGGTGCGTAATTGCTTTTGTAAACAATGACTTTAGCCGTCAATTTCTCGCGAATGAAATCTTACCTCTCCAAAATTACAATGCTAGCTGGTAGAGGAAACATTCCTCTACCTGCTGGTGTCATTATTTTTCATGAGTGAGCTTTTATTCGCGAGAAATCGACGGCTAAAGCCATTGTTTACAAATGCAATTACGCCCCTTTGAAATGTTGGCACTGAAATGTTAGTCTTGATTTGTCACTGGATTCAACCGATGTGCAAGAAAAGCTGATATGTTAATCGAGGGAGCAGACAGTGCTGATCATGCTGAGTAGAAATACTCAGAGGGAGAGATAGGCGGAGAAAACAAAATACAATTCGGCAGCAGGGATTTGTACCTAAATTATCTTGCAACCCTTGCTAGGAGAAAGCATTTCACACGAGATTTCACATAACTTTTATTTTAGATTGGATTTACGTGCAAAATAATAATTATGGAACAACAATAGAAAAAGGCCCATCAGCATTTGTAAACAAACCGTTCCAAAGCCCTTTACTCACAAAGCGAAGGCTGACCACGCAAACCAACACCATCATCGGATAGGGGAAACTTCTACCTACACGATGATGGTGTTGGTTTGTGTGGGCGGCCTTCGTCTTCGATTTGTGAGGAACGGTTTGTTTACAAATGCTGATGGGCCCTTTTCTATTGTTGATCCAGAATTGAATGCATCAAAATATTTTGCACATTTCTTGGTGCCATTAATAAACCCGAGAATAAACCAACTAAGATCAATTAATCAATAAAGTTAGAATATTGTTTTTGATTTCAAAAACTAGTTGAATTTGAGAAGCACACCTCGAAGCACACAGAAAATAGAGGTGGTTGAATTTCTGTTCGATTGCCATACTCTTAAGTTTAATCTAATAAAAATAAGAAATTCTCGGACAAAATCAAATAGACTTTTCTGACGTTTGTGAAAGGCGCAAGTTTAGTGCAGAACTTGGAGTAAATTATAAGTATTTGTGCAAGAAAACCTTAGAATTCACCCAAAGCTCTGCGTACTTGTGCAATTCATAAACGTCAGAGAAGTCTATGGGAATGTTCGATTGGCTCAGATTTCGGCAGTTCATTCGGCTTAAAACATTCTCTCCGCCCATCTCTCCCTCTGAGTATTTCTAGTTGCCAGAAAACATTGAATGTTGCCGCTTGACGTTTTGACAGCTCGTTCGACACAGAAACACCATGAAACATTCAAAACTAGAAATACTCAGAGGGAGAGATGGGCGGAGATAATGTTTTGAGCGAGGGGGGTGACTCTATCGACGATGCAGGAAAAATTGTGTTTTGCTGTGGTAAGCTGCGCGGACGCTGAGTAGATAGAAAGAAGATTGATAACGATTCTGAAGATTTCCTGCAAAAAGATGATGTGCAATGAAAGTAGATGCGAGAAATGGAAGAAGATTTTTCGAAGATTGTTTCGCTAGTATGAGATTTGTTGAGAATCTAGAATTCCGATTTAGATGTGTAGCCTCCCTCGGTTTTGAGCCAAATGAACTGCCAACCCGCATAAACGCGAACCATAAATTGACCTTACGTAAAATGGTTAAAAATTGTTTATAATCCCTGCTAAACTTTAACTGAAATGGTTATGGAACTTTACATGAACGTTTAATGATAATGTTTCAACCTTATGTATTATGGTTTTTTGGAACTGGACCTTACAAATAATGGGTTGTTAAGAACCATTACCGTTCCAAATTCTTGTTTTCTCCATACATTTTCGGAAAGAAAACTATATTATACTGAAATCATATAATTAATTGAGGATTGCAACGATTTTTGCCGGAAATTATTAATTATTTTGTTGGACATTTGTGCTCAAGTCTCAACATTCGAAATTCTATGTACTTCGGTAGTACTGTACCAGGGAGGCAACTTCAAAATCATTTTCAGAACTTTGTTCTGAATCCTTTGAAGTGCTTTTTTCCTGGTAGTGCAACAACAAGACCATATTGGCACAGCGTAAAGCATGGCCGGTCTAAAAACTTGTTTAAATATTAGAAGTTTATTCGTTAGGCAAAGTTTGGATTTCCTGTTTATAAGAGGATATAAACATTTTATATATTTGTTACATTTGGCTTGAATGCCCTCAATGTGATCTTTAAAAGTTAATTTTTGGTCAACAACTAATCCAAGATATTTCACTTGGTTTGACCAGGAAATTGGAACTCCGTTCATAGTGACTATGTGACTACTACTAGGTTTTAAAAAGGAAGCTCTGGGCTTATGTGGAAATATTATAAGTTGAGTTTTGGAAGCGTTGGGAGAAATCTTCCATTTTTGTAAATAAGAAGAGAAAATATCAAAACTTTTCTGAAGTCTGCTGCAAATAACACGAAGACTTCTTCCTTTAGCGGAAATGCCTGTGTCATCAGCGAACAAAGATTTGTGGCAACCCTGAGGCAAATCAGGGAGGTCCGAAGTGAAAATGTTATACAATATAGGCCCAAGAATGCTACCCTGAGGAACTCCTGCTCTAACAGGTAATCTATTAGATTTGGAATTTTGATAATTTACCTGCAGAGTTCTGTCAGTTAAATAATTTTGAACTAATTTCATAATGTAAAGTGGAAAATTAAACTTTTTCAATTTAGCAATCAAACCTTCATGCCAAACACTGTCGAATGCTTTTTCTATGTCTAGAAGAGCAACTCCAGTTGAGTGGCCTTCAGATTTGTTTGAACGAATTAAATTGGTAACTCTTAAGAGTTGATGAGTAGTTGAATGCCCATGGCGAAATCCAAATTGCTCATCTGCAAAAATTGAGTTCGTATTGATGTGAAGCATTATTCTATTCAAAATTATCTTTTCAAAAAGTTTACTTATTGAAGAAAGCAAACTTATTGGGCGGTAGCTAGAAGCTTCAGCTGGATTTTTATACGGCTTCAAAATTGGAACAACTTTTGCATTTTTCCATTTATCAGGAAAGTATGCCAAATGGAAACATCTGTTAAATAATTTTACCAAGAAAGACAAGGTACTCTCTGGGAGTTTTTTGATGAGGATATAGAAAATTCCATCATCACCTGGAGCTTTCATATTTTGAAATTTTTTAGTAATAGACCTTACTTCGTCCAAATCAGTCCCCCAGGAATCATCAAAAATATTTTCCCGAGAGAAAATATTCCGAAAATCCCGAGCAACCTGATTCTCAATAGGAACGCACCGGAACTTGATTTACTCAACACGCACCATGCTATAAAATGGTGCTAGATGGTCTTCAAAGTGATAACAAGATGACAAATCAGTGCCAACATTTCAAAGGGGTGTAATTGCTTTTGTAAACAATGGCTTTAGACGTCGATTTATCGCAAATGAAAACCCACACCTCCAAATTACAAATGCTAGCTGATACAGGACACATTCCTCTGCGTGCTGGTGTCGTTCATTTTCATGAGTGAGCTTTCATTCGCGAGAAATCGACGACTAAAGCCATTGTTTACAAATGCAATTACGCCCCTTTGAAATGTTGGCACTGAAATCATCTTTATTTTGAGTAATTGAGCAATTTACTTCTGTTTACCATCATATTTACGACGCAGCATTGATAGAGCCGTGAAATGAAATGAATATATCTTATGAAAGTTCACCTGAAAAAAATCAAAGATGCACATCATTCTGATCGTAAAAACGTTTTCTTCTTCAATTCGAATGTTATATTGGAAGGATTTCACACAGGCTTGATGAAAATTATGATTTAATGCTAATTTTCACGAATTTTATATGCAGTCTGTCAACATTATCATCATCATGCAGTGGCGATATCTGCGTTGAGCTTTTGCGGCGATCTTCCAATCACACTGTAAAAACCTATGACTGATAAAATTTCAAAGATTGTTTTTATGTGTCCCACACATGAATTTTTGCAATGTGATCAACAAATGATATCTATGTGTCGGACACATACTTAATATGTGTACACATAAAAGCCATATGTAGCCACACACCATTCATTTGACTCATAAATTTCATGTGTGCTTCTGGGTGGATTCTGTTCATGTGTGGTCACATGAAAATCATGTGGAATTTGACATGGAAATTTTTCAATAAAAATGTGTGGAATTATATTAGTGTATGTGTGTGACACATAAACGAAATATGATTAATTTTCTCAGTGTAGGGTGACAAAACATCTTTTTTTTTTAATTTTATGAAATTTTACATAGCATTGGATAAAAAAAACTCAGTTTGTTTATATTTGTCAGTTTCATCCTTTTGAAATGTTGGTACTGAATGTATAAACATTGCGTAACCATACACCGAAAATAGTTTTCATGTAGCTTCCATTGGAAACGCGCATGATTTTCATCCATAATCAAAATTAATGGAATTCATCTGAATTTCACATAGCATTTATGTGATCAAATTAAATGTATATGATTTTTCTTATGAATTTTATCGGCCTCATAATATTTATGTGATTTTGTGGTGGGATTTGCAGGAAAGCTATGTGAAATTCACGTGGATTTCATCCATTAGAAATTTTTTGAGTGTAAAATGATTTGGTTTTAATTAGAGAGGCTCTAGTTTTAATCAATCTTAGTAAAAAATTAACTATTTCATTCGAACAGTAAAATGGCATTTACTACCACTCAAACTTTGAAATAAAACATTATTTCGAGATTCTTCTTCTAGAATCACGAGAAAAGTAGCCAACATTTGTGCGTTTCATAAAAAAAAATTAAATTAGTTGGTCCAGTTTTGTGAAATCGCTGGTAGAAATTCACGCCAAAACTGCTTGACAAAGTGGTCAATTATTTTTGAGTGTTTTCGGGACACCATGGAAACAATCATTGAATTTTTCTCAGTGCGGTTGAAAGTTTCCCATGCATTTTCTTCAGTGACAAAACCCCTCGTTTGACGACTTTAATGCACCAATTGACAGCTGTCGCAACCATTGCCAATGCAGCCAACCGAATTTAACTTCCGACTCCCGATGGTGGCCGCTGCTCGCTCTCCCGCCATCGAAACGCACAGCACAGCACACAAGCACGCGACGCGGGTTTCTCTCCCGAAAAGTCGCATTTTCCTTCGCTGTGTGCGTGGTCCGGAGAGAGAATCGCTTGCCCAGCAACTTGGCGCTCGCTCACGGTCGCGGTTTTTCAGTCCGCTATTCGCATTTCGACCGACTGCTCGTGTGTTCAGGAAGATTCCGCTGTAAGTGAACGGGGAACGACCGTGGATTTTCACACAGGAAAAATTGTGGCTCATTTTCTACACTGATTTCTCCGGCAAGTAAGGACGGTTTTCAGCTGTTTCTGGTGTTTTCCGTGAGAGTTGGCAGTGAGGATGCGGAATTTGGTTAAATTTGAATGCGCTGGATGCTGTTTTCGGTGTAAAAGTGGATTTTCTGTGCGCTTGGAAAAGCAGTGTGGTGTGGAGGATTTTTTTTTTCTCATGGCCTGTCCGATTTCAGTGTGTGAATCAGCTCGGTGTGAAGCGTGTGAGTGAGAAGGACGGAAGGAGAGTGCGGGAAGGGGGTTGAAATTTGAACAACCGGCGAAAATGGAGGAGTAACGGAAAGTGTTCAAAGGAAACTCGCGCGCCTTTCACAGTCAGCAAGTTTAAAGCATTTTTTTTAGGTTTGGAAGGAAAATTTCATATTTACCTCATCGTTTACCAATTTCGGTTTTTGAATTGATTGCCAGGAGGACGCTTGGTTGACAGTTTGATCGGAGCGGGTGGTAAATGTACATCGGCGGCAGAGGAAGAAGGGAGGGATGTGCATCACTATTGATTTTCCGTTTGTCATCAAAGGTCGCGGTCAGATCAGTCGAGGAATGTTCCAGTATGTAGAAGACGAGGTCATCTACAAGTCATAAGTTGTGGCGCCGTTGACGAGCACGAGGGTGGAAAACGCAGCAGCAAAACGATTTTGGCAGCTGTGACTGAAGTTTCGAGCCAACGAAGCGTCGGGAGGAGAGGGATGAAAAGTTCGCTTTGGGTGACGTCAAGAAGAGCAGCTTGTGAACTGCGATGCGAGCGAGAGCGTTTTGAAGGAAATTTCTCGGCTTGTGTGTTTGCGTTTCGTCTTCTGTCAGTTTGATTCGGGCGATAACGTCAGTTTAGTGAATGTAATTTATAACCGTACAGCCGGAGGAAAACTTTGCATTTGAAAATCCCCTCAGTCCTGTTTCTATCTAACCATCGAATTTTCCTTCGTTTTAGATAGAGAGCACCCAAGGCCACAAGAAGGACCTACTCGAGGCGACAGTTGCATCTCGATCGAACGGTTTAGCTTCTCATTTCCCAGCAACCACACGGACAGATAGACACAATGGCCGAGGCTGATATGCCAACTTTTAAGTGCGTCCTAGTCGGCGACGGTGGTACCGGAAAGACAACCTTCGTCAAACGGCACATGACCGGCGAGTTTGAGAAGAAGTACGTCGCGACGCTCGGCGTTGAGGTGCATCCGTTGGTGTTCCACACGAACCGAGGCGCCATTCGGTTCAACGTCTGGGACACAGCCGGTCAGGAAAAGTTTGGCGGACTGCGAGATGGGTACTATATCCAGGGACAGTGCGCCATCATCATGTTCGATGTGACGTCCCGCGTTACGTACAAGAACGTCCCCAACTGGCACAGAGACTTGGTGCGAGTGTGCGAAAATATTCCGATCGTGCTTTGCGGAAACAAGGTCGACATCAAGGACCGCAAGGTGAAAGCCAAGGCAATCGTATTCCACCGGAAGAAGAACCTCCAGGTGAGTCACGCTGTAGATGTGATCTTCTCGTAGGATATGCGTACCCTTGACTTGGTTATGACATTCGATTCATAATCGAGGGGCTAATGTACGCTAGAGCATGTCGCTAACGACAATGACGATCTTGCAGTTTCTTAGATTTTACCCTTGACCGTTGGGTTCAGTTGTGGCAATGTGAGATCGCACAGTGCCGAAAATTATACCGAAATTGTTTTTGATATAGGTTGCAACCTTGTTTCTCGGATATCATGATGGAGTCTGCTTGTTTTCTGACAAATCTAGTTGAACAATTCATCGACTTTCTCATTTGATAACCACGGCTATGCAGATAGATTTCGCGATATTTTCGCCACATAGTTTTGATAAATGAGGTTCTTGTCTAGCGTTAAAAACATCAAGCACGACAGTGAATGTTGTTGCCGCTAAGCTATTAACGAAAGAGAAATTCGATGGGGATTAACCTGAACACACAAATTTGCTAATAGATTGTAGAATACGCCCTTTGTTTACCCAATCGAGGGCAACAAGCTACATCCACTCCATTCAACGCCATGAGAAACACATGAATGCCAAATCCATCCAAAATCCAGCATCAGTGTGGATAGAATCGTATTGAAATGTTCGTGTCTAGATATGTACCTATAAGCGTACCCTTGACTTGGTTATGACATTTGATTCATAATCGAGGGGCTAATGTACGCCAGAGTATATCGCTTACGATAATGACGATCTTGCAGTTTCCCAGACTTTACCCGTGACCATTGGGTTCAGTTGTTGCAAAGTGAGATCGCACAGTTCCTTCCGTTGATAATATCCAATACGAACATTTTCCACTCGATCCGCTTGCACTGGGCTGGAATTCGAATACCATCATCACAGCATCAGAATCAGCAGGGTTCCAAAAGGCGACTTGTGTGGACTATCAAAGGATTACCTCTAGGACGTAAGGATTATTTTTAAGGTGATACTATCCAGAAGCCCGAGCTCTGGTGGCACTTTGCATTTTCAGCGGTCAATTTATCTGCTATCGGAAAACACAATAACAAAACTGCTTCCTCATGTCTCAAATATCACGATCGTATCACCTTAAGAACAGCTGGAAGACCTCCGAGACAACGTTTGAAAGTCTTTACGTTACTTCACCCAAACTTGTTTTTACGTGATCTATTTTTCTTTTTCTATGTTCAAATAATTCCAAGCATCAAGGAAGTTGCCAAAAAATCAATAAAATCGAAGAATATATGGTAGGGTTAACTACCCCATTTCCGGTCTATTAAGCACAACACGCACTTGCTTAATCTAGCGCAGTTTAGCACCAAACGGAATGTTATTATTAATGAGGGCTTCCAAATTTATTTACCTTTTCGTACGTACCGTAAGATTTGAAAAGGAGAAACCAATCGTTGAGAAATTGTCAAAAGTCTAACACTGCTTCTTGACGCCAAACTCGGCCTACGGATTCTAAACTCGCCCTAACGCATTGAAACGCCAATGAATTCACTTCGGCCTATCGGATGAAGATAAAAATTGATTCGATCGGAGCGCTTCTTTTGTTTTTGGGAATAATGGGCGCAAACCTTCATACCACGCGTTCTCATTGACTTCGTTCGGTAGCTTATTAAACATCGTACCAAACGCATAATTGACTTGTTAACTCTGAAATCATGGATTTATTTGAAGTTTTCTGCACGATAGACCCAAAATGGGCGATTAGGCCGAAGTAGTTCTCTACCCTACCTATCAAAATTTTCTAACTTTATTAGGGCAAAACTGTTTTTGTAAACCATAGCTTCAACCGCTGATTTCTCACAGATGATTGAAGCTCACTCTCGCGAATAAACTATTCCAACTGATAGGGGGAACGTTATCAGCACGCACTGTTTAGTGGTCGTCGGTTGTGTCTTCCTCTTTTGGGTACAGGGTTTGGTAGATGGGTACAGTAAAACATTTTAAATTGAGGGTCACTGCTGGATTGACCAGTCCCAAGCTGAAAGCCTCTTTAATAAAGAAAACTTCTTAACTCCGATCAAATTTGAGTTCCGCTTGCTCAAATTAGGAAAAAGCGCCGTTCACTCATAGAATGAGTCAACTTTCTTTCGATGTTCCTCAAATATCTGCATGATTATGACTAAAATCGAAAAACAAATCAATCACTCTACAAGTAGTTCATAGTTCGATCACAGACAAACAGACATAACTCTAACAAAATTCTTCTAAAAATATACACCCCTATTCTGCATTTCGTTTCGAACGAAAGTCTCATACAAAAAAATATTTTTTTGTATGAGAATTTCGTTCGAAACGAAATACAGAATAGGGGGGATAGTCAAGCGTATTTTGCATGCACACTAGCACCATCTATCATCAACATACCCAAGCATTGCTGTGCAAACGGAGCATCCTTCGTTCATGCATTTTTCACCAGTTCCTTTTCCCTCGTTCTGTCAACACGTCAGCTGTGTTGAAGAAAAACAAAACAGATGCAAGTTAGTGATGTCGGTTCTACTAAAGAGCCTGAATTTATAAAGAGATGACATCTTATCATTTGACAGGTCTTCTGCTCGATTGGAATGACTTTTCCTATGACTTTGACGGACAATCGATTGTTCCAATTTTGACATGTCGCCTCTTTATAAATTTAGGCTCTTTAGGTTCTACCAAGTTTTACGTAGATCTACACACTTAATTTTTTCTACCGAGCTCGGCTGTGCAAATCTCGGCAAAAAAAGTTTTGCTAAGATCTCAGCAAAAGTGACATTTGATTGCTGAGTCTCGGATAATGCTTAGCTGAATCTCAGCAAACAAATGAAATGTTTGCTGAGATCTCAGTAAAACTTTTGTTGTCGAGATTTGCACAGCCGAGCTCGGTAGAAAAAAACTAAGTGTGTATACTGCCGATACTCGCATAATTGTCTTTTATGGGCAGTATAGAATAGATTAAATTTTGGAGAATTATGGATCCGTAGTAGATGTTCATAGAAACGCAGTATTTCTTTAGAGATTTTGTTTGTTTGTTTAGTGTGATTTTTCTTTTGTTGGAATTTTTTTTAAACGTGGCAATGAATCACTAATGCGTGCCCTTTCTACCACCGCTCATCACTTCAATGTGTACACAGCAAACAAATATAATATGTATCAATCAATGCTACTCATAATGATGTATTGTAACTGGTAATGTATTGTTCAGACTACAGTGTTATCCAGTGGCGTCGCGTAACCTCACTTTTTACCTGTGCACCAACTTTCAAAAACAGATATAAGGCCGTTCGCAATGCTGAGTTTCAAAATTGTTTTAAACGACTTGACAATTCTATAATTTGAAACTGTCAAAAATAAAACTGCAACACGATCAGCGCAACGCACAGTTCTAAAAGATGTTTGTAATCATCAAGTTCCATAAACTTTACTGTTCTCTATGAAGTTCATAGAGTTTTTTTGTGAAGCTCTTCGAATCATCTTTAAATACATACAGAAATTTGAAACAGAGTTCCATTCGTGTTTCAAACTCGCTCAGAAATAAAACAGAATAGTCGAGCAGTTGCAAATCTGGTGCAAAATAGTGCTCGAATAATGAAACTGCAACTCAGCATTGCGAGAGGTGCGTTTCTGTTCTAGTTTCAAATTGAAACAGTCCTTATAAAATACAACAGCATTGCGAACGGCCTAATGCCATATTCATACTCGAATCGAATGAAAGACACACTTAATCTTCTAGTTAACTCGATATCTATCCATTGAAGGCAATATTTTGATAATTGTTTGTGTTTTGAGAGTTGGTGCACAGGTAGATTGAGGTTAAGGCGACGCCATTGGTTATAACATGTTACAAGGATGTTATAATAATTATCAACAAGTTAAACGTTATCAAAATAGCCTTGTAATAATTACACAACAAGTGGAATGACCAATGTGCAGCTCTTTGAATGTATTATTCATCAACTCTATATTCGTCCGATTAGTAAGTCCCTGGGTGGTGCCAAAAGATGAGCGCAATAGAATCATCAAGTTGCCATAAGGCACGGAATGAGACTATTGCATGGCTGGGTAGTCAAAGTCTTCCATTCGTTAGTCATTTCAGGTGGATTAGAACAGGTTTAGGTTTAGGGTGGGCGTTGGCCAGATTTGGATTTTTCAGATGTAATCCTGGATAGGACCCTGTCATTGAACGTCGCGTGAAAGTGGAACTTAATGAAGGCCTAAGTACCTTTTCGTAGTTTTTAGTTTTCAAATTTGAAAGATCGTCGGTTACAGTGGCCTGCTTACTGAGCAGAAAAACGCGGTCCCAGGTCCTTACATATCAAAGAGATTTATGGTAAAATCGCTTGTGTATCGTGTATTTTGCGAAACTCGTTGTTGTCGTTGGTTCCGGGTTTGAATGGATACAAAAATTTGAGCAACGGTATTATGTGATATGAGGGGCTCGGTGGCCTTAGAGCAACCGTTTTTGCTTACTGAGCAGAACATCATGAGTCTAATCTCAGGCCCATCCACATTCAAGATTCGTCAATCGTTTTATTTGTTAATATGACTACATGGTAATAACAGCAACTCGGTGATTAAAAAGGTGCTCGTCTGCCTAGTGGCAAACGTTTTTGCTTACTGAGCAGAAGACAGTGGGTTTAGTCCCAAGCTCCTTCGCGTTATATGATCGTTAGGACATCAATTCAGCTTATCGTTTACCAAAACGAACCCTGCTGCAAACCCAACCCTCTTATCCAACATCCCAGTGATTCCTCGTGGAAGTGCAGAGGTGTTCTCGGCTTCCATCAAAGCGAGTGTCATGTCAACACAATCCTTCCCCTTCCTTTGTTGACCTGTGTTCGGGCGCGGCCGGCGCTGGTATTGCCTAATTTAAGATCACCAGTTTTTACACATTGAGGATGATTGCTAGTCCCAAGCATTATCTATTGGTTCTCTGTGTAATTACAGCTGATCTGGCAATAACAGAGTAGCAACCGTGGGCGGTCAATCAAGCTCAAGCTCTATATTCGTCCGATTAGTAAGTGATATGTGTCTCCAGTGGGATGCCTTGGCCCTCTTATCATTTTCAAGAGCTGACATCTACTAAGTTGACCCGAAAAAGAACTAGCATCACTGACAAGCTCAAAATAAGGTGGCTTGCTTAACGCCAGTGGTGCCACCAAAACAAATGCGAGCACATTCCGTACTAAAACCTTATTTGCGAAGTATGTGATTGTGAGTGTTATGTCTGTTTGTCTGTGGCTCGATTATAATGTAATTCGCAATTCTTCACATTCGAGCGAATTTTCGAGGAAAATTTTCTCAGTTCTGCGGATTTGAGTAAACGGAACTCCAGGTCCACCAGGAAAACCGGGTAAAAGTCGGGCGTTTGATTAACTCACCAGGAAAAAATGATTTCAATAGTTTCTGAATTCCACATTAGTGATATTCAAAACCAATACAGCTGTCCCCCGAAGAACGCGTTACCCACTGAGGTTCTACTCACCGCCTTTTCTCAGCGGGGTTTCAACCAGTCGGTCTGATTTTTTGCAACTGAGTGTAGTGCCAATTGAGAACTAGTCACTCGCAGAAAATCAGAGCGCTTGGTTGAAAACCCACCGAGACAAAGCGGTGGGTAGAACTTAGTGGGTAACGTGTTCTTCGGGGGAAAGCTGTAATTTCGTTCAAAAAAAAAATAGCAAATAAAAATTTACCTTTAGTAAACAATGCGTATTTATCTAATTTTTCATGATTTTTTTTTCGAATCGTTGATCGCTAAATCGAGTGAAAATTGACAGGTGAATATTCTATGGCACCTTAAAGTATATTTACAGGGAGCTAGATAAACCACTTTATTTATTAACGACTCACTTACTGTTTCGTTCTACTGTTGTCAGTTCCGAGTGTATTAGCAGGTATCTGCTTGGTAGCATCAACGTGTGTTCAACTATCTTTTAGCACCCAATAGTAGTTCAAAGTAAGTGAAAGTCGCATTACTTTCTGATTTTAAAGTAGACCAAAGTGATTTTTTTCGCTAGGCGGGGTGATTTTTGATAGAGCTGGAATTAGGGCGTAAGCAATTTCTAGAAAGTCAAGTCTCGCCAACGCAAATTAACATTACCATCGGATAGGGGAAGAGTTCCCCTACCTGGTTGTCATGTTGGTTTGCGTGAGCCTGCCTTGCGGATTCCTAGAAACATCAGGAGAAGTAATTGTTTACAAAAGCTGTTACGCCCTAACCAGCTCTATCTAGAATTGTTTTCGTTCAGGCCAGAAAAGGATAAATCTGGATAGAGCTGGAATTAGAACGTAAAAGCTTGTGTAAACAATGACTTCTCTCGATGATTTCTCGAAAGTCGTGGCTCAGCCAAATCGACATCACCATCGAGTAGGGGAAGACTTTCCCTACCCGATGGACATGCTGGATTGTGTGGGCGTGCCTTGAATTCCTAGAAAGCATCGAGAGAAGTCATTGTTCACAAAAGCTGTTACGTCCTAATTCCAGCTCTATCCAGAAATATTAATATTTTTCGAAATCTACACTACCCGCCATAAGTATGAAATCGCTTGAAAAAAAGTATTGCAACACTCATATTGAATATTGCATGACCCAAAGAGAATGTGAATATGTGGGGTGTGATGCTAAGCTTTTAAAGGTAATGCAATATTCAGTATGAGTGCTGCAATGGTTTTTCAAGCAATTCCATACTTATGACGGTTAGTGTATATCTAGATAGAGCTGGAATTAGGGCGTAACAGCCTTTGTAAATAATGACTTCTCTCGTTGATTTCTAGAAATTAAAGGCACACCTACACAAACCAACATATCCATCGGGTAGGAGAAGTCTTCCTCTACTTGATGGTGATGTTGATTTGCCAAAGAGGACAATGACTTTCGAGAAATCATCGAGAGAAGCCATTGTTTACAAAAGCTGTTATGCCCTAATTCCAGCTCTATCTAGATATGATATTCTATTGGAAATGCCGCGCAACATTATTATTTTTTACTGGGCTGAGCGTGGGAAATCGGGAGATTATGTTTGGCGCAGTTGTTCTCTTTTGGTGCAAAATCTAAATATTTAAAACTTGAAAATTGGGTTGCAAGAATTATATTTAAGGAATCTTTTCATAATTTGTAGGGTAGAGCGCTACTTCGTCGTAATCGCCCATTTCCGTTCTATCGATCAGAAAAGATCAATAATATCAATGATTTCACCGTGCACAAATCAATAATAGGTTTGTTCCGATGCGTTAGTTCATTAGCTACAACATAAATCCTGTTAGAGCGCATTGTATGAATATTTACGCTCATTGTTCTCAAAACAAAAGAAGCGTTCCTAGCGAATCACCTTTTTCTACGTTTATCCGTAGGACGAAGAAAATCTAATGGCGTTTCAATGCGTTAGGACGGAATTGAAACTCGTAGAACGAATTTAGAATCAAGAAGCAGTATTAGATTTTGAACAATATCTCAACAATTTGTGATTCTTTATCAAATCCAACGGTACGTATGGAAAGGTGGATAAATTTAGAAGCCATCTTTGACATAAAAATTTTTGGTTTAAATTCGTTCAGAAAAGAGAGGTAAAGCACGGGTTGTCCTTAGTAAGACGGAAATTAGATCAAAACCCCTACATCAATCTATTAATATATTTGTACAGATCATCAACATTGAATGAGGTTCAATAAACTGCAGTAGTTTGAAAAGCTTATACTAGCGTTGATTTAAAATGTTATGATGTTAAATTCTGTTGGGATTTAATTTAGGCAAAAAAAAATCCAATAAAATTGATAGAATCATTGACAAATTCGTATACCTTGGGTACAAACATGATTTATAAAATCAGGAAAACCGGGAAAAACCTGAAATTTAAAAATGAAAATTCAGTTGCCATCCTGAAATTAAAAGAACATGGGTGGAATTCAACTGCCGTGTATTTAAAATTATCTTGTTTCTCTTTGCAATATTCTGTCGTGAATGTTTGAAGACCTAACTATTTATAAACTATTCATTAAATTGCCATACCAACTTCATAAAAATTTTACCCTGTCCTTTTTTCTCCCCAGTACTACGACATCTCCGCCAAGTCCAACTACAACTTCGAGAAGCCCTTCCTGTGGCTGGCCCGCAAGCTGGTCGGTGACCCGAACCTGGAGTTCGTCGCCATGCCTGCCCTGCTCCCGCCAGAGGTCAAGATGGACAAGGACTGGCAGCAACAGATCGAAAAGGATTTGCAAGAAGCGCAAGCCACCGCCCTGCCCGACGAGGATGAGGACCTGTAAGGGATATCTGTGCACGAGTGTTCTGTCCGTGTCCCCCCCCTTCCCAGATCCCCCGCCCTCCCTCAATCCCACACGCGGCCAGACAGGAGTGGCAAACAAAAACAAACGATAAAATAGTAGCCCTCTTTAAGATTTAAGGAAAATTAAAACAAACAGCCGGTTATTAATGTAAAATGATACGAGGAGTAATATTAATAATTATTGATGATGAGCAGTTGAGCTGAACAATTTGTGGGAATTCTAATTTACTACGTTAGGAAGGAGCGATCGTGTGCGTCTTAACATTTCTTTATAGATAACCAGAAAGCAGTGTTTGAAAACATGAGGAAGCGCGGCCCCCGCACAGAGCGGAGGCCGACTGTGAGAGATTTAGGCTTAAGTAAGTTCACATTCACACCATAAGCAGAAGCGATGTAATGAAAACAAAAAAAACTCACGTGCAAACGGCACACAACCCACAAGTGGAAATTCTAACAAACTATAGTTTCTTCCTCCCATCCTGTTACTGTACCTTTTTGCGTTATTGTATATTTTTTACTTTAGAGCAGCTACTGCACTCTTGCTCTTTGTTCTACTTCTTATGCATACACTCAATTGCAGTTCTTTTGTTCCGGGCAGGCCATTATTAAATTTGAAGTAGAAGTTAGATTTTGTTGGTACTAAATTGCAAGTAAGATTATTATTGCATAAAAAAAAGTAAAACATGGCAATGTGTGAAACAAGATGGTTAATTAATGTAAATTAATTTAAACAAATATATTCTCATCAGGAAATTGTCAAGCGAGAGTTTTGTTTTCATTTTACCTACCAGGAAGAAGTTACGGTTCCAAGTTTTCGTTTGACTTAAGCTGTATATTTTCGTTAAAACTGAATCTTCCCGGTTGTTTTTTCCTAAGTCGTCTTTTGTTTTTTTTTCTTAGCAAACCCACATTTCGAGAGTGCTGATAAAACAAATGAATCCTATGTATTACAAAAAAGCGCAGTGAGCTAAGACACACTACCCCTCTGATAGGTGAAACGATAGTAATCGAGTGTACACGGTATGAATGAGTTTGAATAAAAAAAAAATCAATTTCTTTTAAACCTACGACGGACAGCAATAGTTTCTGTGCCTCGGATTATGTACGTGAAAGAAATTGTCCCTGTCTCTAGCATTAAAATTACTGGACTAGACTAATGTGGAGGTACCATATTTGACGCAGGTCCAGGCAAGTAGTTCACAGCATAGCTCCCAATAATCAACCACTAGTGTTTTATTAACACTCAACCTTTACATTCGCACGAAAAACTGTGGATAGTCTTTTTTTTTGTCAAAATTCGTCTGCCTTAACAAGGAAGCTAAGAAGTTGGTTGGTCAGTTTTTAACCGGTTTTCGTGTTAAAAATCAATTTTCAATAGTAGAATCATCTTAACGTAAGCTTCACCAATGTTCTGGTACGATTCTATAACATTCCCCAGAATACACCATTCCCACAAAAGCATTCCCCAGAATAGATGATGAAATTAGTAATTTATCACTTTTTTTGGTTATTCGATATTTCAGTTTTATATTACAGAACAGCTTAAGCTTGGAAAAGTTTCACTGCAAGACGCCAATTATGCAATCCAATTCAACCAGTCGGAAACTGTTAAACCTTATCGAAGATCGACCTGAGTTGAAGAATTTCTCGTGGTGCATGAAACGATGAACTACCGATTACAAATTTATAACATTATTCCACACGTTATTATCCCGAATGGGCATTACCCCGAATCTCTTCTTTATCAGATATTTAACGAATTAATTATGTTCTCTTCTATATATTAAAAGAAGGGAATATTCCCTTCTTTATCGTATATCCAAAGAATTAATTATTTCCTTTTCTTATGAACATTTCAAATGGTCCTATCTGCTTTGAGAGATTCTCTTCATCGATAATCACTGCTAAGCAAACAGATTTCGCGCAAATTTTACCACATAGTTTCATGAAGGAGGTTCTGATCTAGCATTCAAAACGTCAAATACATAAGGGAAAGGTTTTGCAGCTGAATTATTAACGAAAGAGAAAGTCGATGAAGAGAATCGATCAATGCAGATAGGACCTTTTGAAATGTTTATCTAGTCTTATATTTTCAAAGAAAGGAAAACCCCTTGATCCATTATGAATTTTTTATATACGCGAAATAAGATTCCAGGAGTGACTATAATAAACAAAAATAGTCAATCTAATACATGGCATACTTTTCTGGGGAATGTTATAGAATCTCTGGTACTATTAATGCAATCTTGTTATGCTTTAACAAGATATGATGTTTGCGTTAAATTAGGCTCATCATAGTTGTTCCTAATTATTTTCAGTTCATATAATATAGCATCCAAAAGGATAAAAAATCAACATAGACCCCAATTATGTAAGTCGACTCGAGCGTCGAGTAACTCGACACTCGACGCCGTCGAGTGTAGCAAAAATAGGCATTATGGAAGTTGATTGAATCAGATTGAATTGGCCATAAAACGCTAGCGTCATGTCATTTTTGACAGATAACGATCAATATTTTTAATGATTAATAATATTCAAGTTTGTTTTTGTTGTTCCGTTGAAGATTTTTTTGTAACAATATTGAAGTTCGTTTAATTTTTGTTATTAACGAAGTTGAGGTTTCATGGTGGATTTCAAGTATTTTAATGGCATTTAGCTTGTGGTTCAACTGTTATCGTAAGTGGTCGGATCTTTGGTCCTAGTAGTGATTCTTTATCCTGTATTGAAACCACGATTAAAATAAGTCTCGGTAGTCTTCCAGTTAGTCGCAATCTGCTTACCAGAGAACGATGTGGACAAGTGTTGATTTTTTCTACGAAGACGAGGATAACCAAGAGGAGCTGGTTAATATTTCTATAATGCGTAGAAATATTCGCGATACTTCAAATCCAATGTCGTTATCAGACAATGAGTAAGTAAATACTAGTGTAGCAGATTTGATCATTGAGCATTTCTAGCCCAAATTGAAAATCGGTTGGATATGATGATTTCCGATTTGCATGAATGTTTGCGCATGTGTTCTTTACCACCCAATGCTGCATTTTTCATTGAGATCTTTTTACCCTTCTTTCAAAGAAGGTTAAGGTACACCTGGGCAAGTGAGAATAGGTAGTAATTAAGGATTGTTACCGCAATTTCTCGCTTGGCCTAGTTCAGGGAATGTGAAGGTATAGCCCATACCTTCAATTGCCCTGAACTAGGTCAGGCGGGAATCTGCAGTAACAATCCTTAATAACTACTTATTCTCACTTGCCCCGGTGTACCTTAACCCTTTCCTTCCCACACGGTTTTTGATAGTTTTGACATACGTTATGCGTTCCTAAGAAAAGTGCTGGAAATAAAATTTTGTATATAACCTTAAAATATCAAATCCATAAAAAAAAGTTTTTGGTTAAAATCAATAGTATTTTAATTGTTTTTCAATAGTTGACCAGTTGGATTCCAAAAACCATGTATGGTCGAATATAATGGCCACACGAATAGGGTTAGATAAGTATTGCCTATTTAATGGCACGCTGGTAAACATGAGGAAGTCAAAAAATTTGTGGATCACCTGTGCTACCATGGGAAGTGAAGGGTTAACCTTCTTTGGAAGAAGGGTAAAAAGATCTCAATGAAAAATGCAGCATTGGGTGATAACGAACATCTGCGCAACGTTTTACTGTAAATCAGATTTTTTTTCGTTTTGGTGTGGAAATGCTACATTTCAATTGAACAACCTTTTTTTCCTTTCAGTTGCGTGAAATTTTACAGGTTGAATTTGTATCTGGTAGATTTAACCAAACACAGTTTCAAGTTGACGTATAGGAATACGGCTTTTTCACCAGTTTTGAAAATATGTGCATCGCTTAGATTTCTGGCGACTGGAAGCTATCGACAATGTGTCGGTAACGACATGCATCTTGGTTTAAGTCAACCAACGGTGTCAAATATCTTGGCAGAATTTCTGGAGGTGATGAAACGCAAGATCTGCCCACTATGGATAAAAACCGAAATGATGGAGCAAGAGAAACGGAAAGCTAAAAGAACCTTTTATCTAAAAAGTGGCATCCCCGGTATCACACAAGTAATAGATGGTACGCATATTAAAATTATTGCACCTAGCAAGAATACACGCCATGTATATTACAAAAGGAAGGGTTTCTACAGCTTGAATGCTTTGATTGTAAGTTCTATTGATGTGCCAGGAAGAACATTTCATAATCCTTTACAATGTTTGAAAATTGTTTTCAGGCTTGTGATCATAATTCTATGATACGGTTCATAGAAGCCAGATATCCAGGATCTTATCATGACGCCTTCATCTGGAACATTTCCGCATTAAGGCAAAAAATGTACGAGGCATATGAAGGCGGCGAGCGACATACTTGGCTTCTCGGTAAGACTCTTTTTTTAGCATTAGTAATTCAGTAAATAACATTCTTGTTCACATTCAAAAAATAGTATTGCTTACATCGCACCAAACTCGTCTGTTTTTCTGAATTTGCAAAGTGCTGAAACGGTAATAAAACTGCGCTTCTGCAACCAATCGTCTTGATTCAGGGCAGTTATTCCTCACGGAGCTAGCAATAAGTGCTATGAAGGTATACGAGACGATTCGACATAAAATAGCACTTTTACTTTTCAAAGTCAGTCAAATAGTCTAGTGAGAAGTATACAATAAGATGTACCTTGAAGTTGTCAGAATTTTGGGGGGAAAAAAAATCTTAATTGAGGGGGAGAGGTAGCTCATCGATTCTTCCGGTTCGCCTCCTAGCATCGTGCTATAAGGTACCAGGCGATAACCAGGGTAGTTGGTCGATAGCTCGATGACGTCATTTCGTTGGCGTCTGCAATGGGAAATTCTCATAGCAGGCGTTGACGATGGGACGTTGTCGAGTTGTTGAATAGCAACTATCGTGGTAACTCACCGATTACCTGTCGATCTGCCAAATTTGGAAAGACGTCTGCATTGAATTGTCTCATATAATAATATTCCGCC